AATTTCCTATTTTTTGTGTCAGGATAACTAATTTTGGCCTCGCGAGTTCGAATGTGGCGTTTAAGGTATTTATGGCGGGGTGGCCATGTAGGAGGTGAGACGGAGAGAATCTAGTGTTCTCTCGCAGAGAACCCATCGGTGAACAAAAAAAAGATATTTCAATTACAAATTTTCAGTCTATTTCGACCGGTTTTGGGTTCGAAATATTTTTTTAAGAACTTTTCTATTTTTTTCTCACATTTTTCAAGCCTTTTTCTTTTTCTAGCTTGTCTTTTAGGTAATTGGAAAATAATTAATATGGATAGAAAGAGTGACAATGTTGTTCCGTTCGAGGTACAAGTTCACTACAAAAAGTGAATACTAGAATTCAGTACCTTTTGGGTACAGAAAGTGATAATTATTATTAATTAATTGTTTTCTTAACTGATATTTTGACCTTTAGATTTTAACCCTTATATTCTGACCCTTATTCTTGACCTTTACATTTTGACCCTCAAAATATCAATGTGTCAAATGTCAAATGTTGAAGGTCAAATGTCAAATGTCAAATTCCTCGGCCGCAATTTTTTAGTTCAATCTAAAAAATTTCTAAAATTTCCTAAACAGGAAAATTCAGCATTGGTTTTAGAAAATATTTGTTCTTAAAAACGACCCCCAAATTCGTTAGTTTTTATCATCCCACCAAGAATAAAGCTTAAGAACAGGAGTTTCTACAATCTAGAAACTCTATTAATTCATTCAGCTTTATCCAAGCTAACAGAATCCTCACTGGGATTATCTAATGACAATTCCAGTTGACTTTTTCATGGGAATTATTTCTGATTTTCGTCTTCCATTTCCGATTAGAGTCTGCGACTCCGGAAGACATTTTCTATTGAATACTTTAACGGATTTCATAGATTACTCAAACGTGACACATCATCTCCTTCCGCAATTTGTAGCATGCACACGAGATCAGTTGTCTTCCGACGAAAAGCGGATGACCATTTTTTTCATAAATAAATAAATCCGCGGAAATTTACATAAATCTGGAAAAAAATCTCAGTGAGAAGAAACAATAAATATTCTTGCAGACGAAAGCTTACAATTGCGGTAATCATCCCGAACATTCTTTATGCTTCAACACTTTCAGAAAAGACTCGAAATTTTATGAACAGTTTATTAGTAATGTTAAAGAGAGTGACATTAGATTCGATTTCGATTGGGAAAAAATCATAAAATTTGTTGTAGGAATCCTTATGGAACAGTCACGGAATTTTTTCAGAGCGTTCCGTAACTTTCATCTGAATCTCCTGTAAAAAATTACGATACCGTCACTAAAATTTTTCAAGTCGAAAAAAAATATTTTCTTCTACCCGACCGAAATTTTTCGTGTTACGGTTACGCGATTCGTGCCACTGAACGCCGAACAGCGCCGCCTGTGGCGATATTTGACTCTACCCCTACAGAGAAGCCGCGGAGAGACTCTCTCATCGCGCGCCTCAAGAATGCTGGTGGAACCGCGCGCCTCCTGCCGACTTAAACACCAAACAAATGTTTCTCAGCGAAGAATGATCCGCATCCTCATCACCGACTTCCTTCTCACGATTTCACTTTTTCAAGAAATAATTTACCTTCCAAAGTGTCCCGCTCATGCTCATTGAAGTAAGGAGTGCGAAGCAAGCCCATCAAAAGGGTCGAAGAAAAAATAAGTACAAAAACTGAATAATAATAAGAATGAAAATGTGAATAAGCCAGAGGCATGGGAAATGAGAGAGGTTATATGAAAATAAGACGAAGCCCGGAAGTAGGCGTTCGATATGCGCATGCGACCCATCGACACGCAATGCAGAACTGCTCGCTCTAATTTTAGATCTTGTCACTCCTCTGACGCCATCTGGTATACAACTCCACCCCGGCCATTACGCGCATTTAGGTGACCCACGTTGAGACGGGAGTCGATTTTCCCCTAGGTTTTTCATATTCGAATGGGAAACGCTTGGTCTGGAGGAATAAAAGTACGACAAACCCATGTTCGTACGACGGGGCAGATACAAATTTTGCGTTTGTGGATAATTCATGATGGCGATCCGGTGGATGTTTCTTGCACGCAAACGGGATGGGACTTAACGTCCGATTGGGCGGGAGAGGGGGGGGGGGATTTTTGTCGGGGGTTTGAAGAGCAANGGGGGGGGGGGGGGGGGGGGGGGTGATTTTTGTCGGGGGTTTGAAGAGCAAAATCCTGTTATGTTGAGGATGTAACGTTTGACCGGAGGGTACACTTCTTAGGAATTGTGGAATCTTTCCTGTCGATGAAAAAAAATTAAAGTTTCCCGAAGTTCCTCAATACCCTACCTATTTCTTTCTTCATGAAAAGCATGAGCAGTGCCATCCTCAATACCTGGCAGAACTCTTTGCAGCCTATTCGTCAAACAGACCTCGTCGACTCATCCTAGCTCAGCAGGCTCTTGTGGTTCCCAACTTCAGGACGGATACATACAGAGCCTCCTTGGCTGTAGCTGGCTCGGAGTTGTGGAATGGCATCCCTGCTGTCATCAGAGACCTGCCCACCAGCTTAGGATTCAAATGTCAGCTTAGGTCTTGGCTGCGCACCCGGGTTGAACCCAGCTGATTACGTGTGATTTGATGAACTATCTCTTATGCTTATCTCTTTTGCTTTTCTCCGACTCACTTCATTGCCTGTGTGCTAATGCTACTGCTTTTCCATGCTATTTCTGTGCTTTTATCTCAGTGTATCCTCTCTTATTTATAATCTCTCATCTGTACAATTTGTTTAAATTTCTAAACAATAAACTCCTTATCTTATCTTATCTTATCTTATCCTCTTGCGTCGAATTTTCATGAAGCTCACCTAACGGAAGAGAATTGAATAGGGGAGGCGATGCCTGTACCGCTCACCTGATTTTCTCCATAACCACTTATTTTTCCTACACTGTCTCCCATTCAATCTCAACTCAACTATCAGCACGTAATTCTCACGGAAATTCTCGTTTTTTTACCCCTTTAACCGTCGGTGAGTCGCGCTCGGCCGCCAGCCTGCATCCGCCGTACGGTTCGCGCAGCGCCGCTGGGTTAAACCGAGCGCGCTGTTGTCATCCTGGCGCTTACCGCGATGCGCGCATTCCAAGTGTGGCAGTCAATGTGCAACGCTGTCGCTCGGCACGGCGCGGCGCCGCTTTTCTGTCCGCTCGACGTTTATTTTCTCTTTTTAGCTAAACGAATTCCCCGAGAAAAAAACCGACAACGCCACTGCTTAATAAAAGAATTGTACTGGCAACTATAATTTTTTCCGAATTTGTAAACGTCGAGAAACACGCTAAAACATGGAATAACTAAAACGCGCGGCGCCGCGAGTGATCGAGGGTTAACATAATGTCAAATGTAATGAACAGGAAGAAATGAAGTGATAATTCCTCGGGAATATAATATCCGTCTTTTTCTTCTTTACTTTAATCTAATGAGCTACCGCACAGATGTTAGGTCTGCCTGGTGGGCAAGGGTTCCGCGCAAGGTGCTTAAAAAACTGCATGAGGACTCTTACCTCCGGCATAAATCGATTCCTATCTTAACCAGCCGGTGAAGCATCAATGTGGTGCTTTCAGCTACCACCTCAGCGATGCCTATCGCATTATCTTTTTTATTGTCTTTTTCTTCACAATGTGATACACAAACTATTGGTAGGCAGCGGTGGGCTCTGGCGTAACTCAATGCTTTACCTCGACTTCACTTAATACTCGAGGCCTTATGCAGTATCTTTGCTCAGCCCATCACGTCGACTTCACTTTTGTAGTTTCGAAAGCGTCAAATTTTCATCGTGCCTGCCTTTCGATTTCAATTCTGGTGAGCCGGAATGAGAAAATATGAAGAATGGAACGAGTCAATATGCGCGGCAAGTTAAAATTCTTTGGGTTCAAATGTTTTTCTTCCATCAGATGGAATTTAGTCCTCTCCATTTAATCTAATGTAAATGACCCCGGCTAGTTGAAGTGGATGTGTCATTAGTCCGATAGCTCGTTCTTATTTGAGTGTGAGGACAGGTTTTTTTTGTATTGAATATCAGACAGTTCATCACACGAACACTCCCGTCAAAAAATTTATAATATGGGCAATTCCATGTATTTTTCAAATTTATAAAGAATATATAAAAAATATATAACACATATATTTCATGTATTTTTTTAGATAAATTGGCACACTAAGATATTTTTCAAAATATAAGGTCAACAATATATTATTAACAATATTAAAAATTGCAAATTTATATTAATTTATTAAAATAGCTACGCGATATGAAGACAAAAGCATTCCACTTGTCTTTATGGAACTATAGAAAAAAAATCGAATAATGAATAAGTAAATGTAAAATAGCTCCCATTCCCCCGACAATAATTTTAATTTTTCTTCTCCAGGTGTTTATCGTCCCAAAACATTGCACTGAAAGTACTTGCACCTGAAGTTGTAGTATTTATCTTTCATTTATGTTTCTCCATGCAAATGACGATTTCGCGTGATGACGAAATGGAAAAAAATTCAATCAGAGTACGAGGAATTATTTCCTCAGGTGCAGATCGGCACCGATGTCGCTCCCGATTTCACATTATGCAAGAAAGTCGTCATATGATGGCTCACTTCCGCTTGGGTTTTTGCAGCTTGTGCCGGGCGCGCGCCAAATACGTTGAAATATGTTGGATGCATCTGCGCACGGTTGAAAAATCACGGTAAAACGCGAGTGTGAAATCGAAGGGGCCGAAAGGTTCCCTCCGCATCTTACCTCCTAATTAACGTTCACTTAACAGGTGGCCACGACGTTATTTTGTCCCGTCCAAGTAAAAGTTTGCATCTGGCGATTTTTATGGTAATACAATGGCACAGATTTAATAACGGCTGCATGAACATTATAAAACTGGGACGAAATCAGGGCATCTTGGCAAGTACTTTCATTTCTTCGGTTTTTAAATTATTCGCGTCCCAATCAATTTGGTGGAAATCGAGAGTATGAGATAATTGAGGAGTTATTTTTCAATTATCGAGATTTCTTTTGCCTCCTGACCACAGGATGTCTTCGCAATTCTAAAAATGGGAAAGCATTTCGAGTACACTGAGAGAAATGGTTTATGTGAATTGGATGATGTTTATTTGGAGAAAATAAGTAAATTTTTGATGATTAATCTGGACTTTTGCGGACTATTTTTTTTGCGCATAATACTAAAGGATATATGTTCTCAAAAAACCATGGCTTCACCAGGAGCAAGTGAAGACGCTCGACGCCTCAAGACCTCTTCACAACTGATGTTCGACGAATGTTCACTGTCATTCCACCATTGAGTCTCGCCACTTCCAAACAGAATGAAAATCAAATTCGCGAGGAAGTAAATTCCCGCTGACATGTAGAAGACAATCTCCCACTGGGCTGCATTTGTCTGCAAAGAAGAATTTTCGGATACAAATTTTCAACGTGGAGACACCATCTCACCATCTCGCGCGAATGATTCGCCTCTCGCGTCAAATATTTCGTTTTTGTAATTATCAGCTTGCGATTTATCTCATTAAAACCTGTCTCATTGAGAACATAATTGTCTTCTCTCCGAATAGGAGAAAAATAAAATGTTGCTGAAAAATAATGTTTACCGGTTCCGTAACGATTCTTCCGACGACCAGAGGAACCAGCAGAGAGACAACTGCCGCCGCACAGTTGGTAATTGACGCAAGTAGTCCGGCATATTTGAGACTCAAATCCATATGATTTATCTGGAATCCACAGGTAGCCCCTATATTCAGCGCAACAGCGAGGACCAACAGGACGACTGGGAGTGTAGTGTCACCAGGTGAAACAAAGCAGATGCCAACGAACGCAAGTCCAGGTCCCCAGTGGCCAATACTATTGCACACTTTACGTGATACTCCTCGCGACACTCCTTTCTTCTCGCTCCAATCTGATAGCCAACTCACCGGGAACGTGACGATCAGCAGCGCTAAATATGGTAGGGCTGAGTTGATGCCATTCTGTCGTCATAAAAATGAATTCAGGATTACGGAATAGTAAAGGGTGCAAAGTCTGACTGAACTTGACGTGACAGTCAGTCGCACGGAGAAAAATGTTCAGTAAAAATTCCACTGTCGCGATGTACAGTAGAATGCACGCCACGTATTGATAGCAGTACAAGTTCAGTCAACTCATGCATTATTTTCTTTTCCACCTCGATCTTGCTGCCCAGATGTTGCACTATTGGCATGATGCAGCAATTTTTTAGTTAAAAAATCATGGAAATTACAAACTTTTTTTATGTCGAATGCAAGCACTCCAGCCATGTAATTTGGTATTTCAGTGAGCAGCATGGAAAATCCCCAATTCTGCCCACAATGGGCTACGAGTAGTGCCCAAAAGGGAGGACTCGTTAATATTGCCTTCCAAGGTGTAGAATTCCTCGAGTTCTTTAAACACAAAAATCCAGAACATTTCAAGGACAACTCCAAGAAGCACAACGCGCAGCGTCGCTTTTCTGCCCGTTTGACGTTTCTTTTTTTTAGGTAATCAAATTTCCCGGGAAGAAAACAGCCAACGCGAACGTTTAATAAACGGATTAAACTACACTGTTAGAAATTTTTTTGAAATTTCAGTCAGTTATCCTTATTACTAAAGTCAACATTACTAAAGGAGAACATCAAAAGTCGAATTGCGAGTTATTTGATTATCGAAATTTAGCGATGCTAAAGGAACAAACGATATCTCGATCGCGTATTTCTATCGAAATTGAATTATATTAAATGAAAAATGTATCGCGATGAATCCATCTTTATCATCATAGTTAATCCATCTTACTAAAGGAGCTGATGCGGTATTATCGTATCGTGACAAGACCAGTCTAACCTGGAAAGCGCAATGCTATTCCCGAAAATTATAAGGTGAAGGCTGATTATAAGACAAAACTATGATGATACAGAAACTTTTTGCAGAGCGTGTCTCATAATGCTAGTCCTAGTCCTAGTCTGAAAAAAACATACACTTAAAGTCGATACCTATCGATATCTCGCAAGTCTGTCGCGCTCATTCCTGATTGGTCCCAGTCGTCAGGCGGCAAATTTAATTCATGATTAATTTAATTTTGAGATTTTCAATTATGATTGTTACAATTACAACGCGCTGTAGCGCGCGTGGGGTCTCGTTCGAGAAAAACGACGCGCGGCGGGGGTTCCCTCGTGGGGTGGCCAATCCAGGGTCAACTATCAAGATACAATTGCACCTTGAAGCACTCAAACTAATCGCTTTATTGACTACAAACGAATCCTTCCATCACTTTGCATCAAGTTGTTTTGCAATAAGCTTTCCAGACCATCTTTTACAACCTCACCTTCTCGTCATCAGCCGTTACTTCCTCTCCCCCAAAAATTCCAAGACCACTCTCAATATACTTTCTCTCGGCATCGGTGATACCGCAACACGACTTCCCAGATGACGCAGCTGGTGAATCTGAACCAGCGGAGAAAATGACGAATGACCAGAGGACAGCAGCAGTACCAAAAAAGTAGAAGACACTTCTCCAATCAGCTGCGTCGATCAGAGCACCGGTTATCGGGTATGTGATTACAGTGCCGAATTGTCCTCCGACGTACGTCAAAGTGCCTGGAGAAAATTCTGGGAATGATCTACAAAGACGGAGGCAGAGTGCTCAAGGGTTCAGTTGAAAATGATTACCCAGACGTCCGCGTTCGTTCGGGGGTACCCATTTGGATAGCAGAGTGTGGGTACAAGGCAGAAGTCCGGCTTGACCAAGTCCGATAGCAACTCTGCATGCAACGAAATACATCCAATGACCATTATCGAAAATAATTGGAGATAGAATACTACCGATTCCGCTTATCAGCATACCAATCCCTAAAACTGTCTTCGCACTCCGTATTCTTGCGAGGTGACCCACTGGTACCTGCACTACTGCGAATCCCCAGTAGAATGAACTCAGAATTATACCGACGTTGTCGGATGTCAGTCCTCCTTTCTGGAAAAGATATCTGGGATTCAAGGAGTGATCGGCAACGACTGATGTCGGGGTAGACCTGACTTGAGTGATTTCACCATTGCTGCCCACATGGCAAAAAAAAAAAAGCACCGGTGTTTTTTTTTTTTTTTGCAAACCCGCGTAGAAAAATTTTCTCTTTCAGAGATTGTCCAGAAATATTGGGAAGAATCTTTGAAAGATTATGTGGGAGATCTGCTTGGTGACCCAAAAAGATTCTTCAGAAGACAAAATTTTAAGGGTAAAAATTTTCAAAGTCCAAAATTCAGGGCTTAGTAATTTGAGCGTCAAAAAAGTAAGGATTAAAGGAGTAAGGATCGAAAATTAAAATTGTCTTTGGAAGATTTTGTCTTCTGAAGAATCTTTTGGGTCACCAAGCAGATCTTCTACATAATCTTTCGAAGATTCTTCCCAAGATTTCTAGAAGACCTTCTAAAGACAGAAATTTTTCTACACGGGAATATATATACAGAAATATATGTCACTTATATCCGCTTATATGTGGTATACTTTTCGGCAAAAAATGCAATATTTGAGATATATGTTGGATATATGTGTGTACATATATGCCACCGGGTATACCTAGCATATACCTGGCATACAAGGCGGATATATTCACGATATAATTTCGACAAAATCACTATATCTCACTTATAAGTTTTGGCTTATATTTTTTTCTATGCGGGTGACTGCACTGTTAAAAAAAATCTGACTGAATTATACGAATAAAAAACTTGAATTCCATTTAAGGTCTTTTTAGGCTGGAATGAGAAAATTTTTTTTTTGCACCACTAAATCAAAGTTGACGTGAAAAAATTTCATTTCAAGGATTTCGAGTGGCAATTTTTTCGGGTTAAACAACACTTGTGTGGAAACATGTTTTCTTTTCTTTACGTCTAGGTACGTACACTCTCCTCTTCATTCTCCATTGCAACAACTGCGAGGGATATGCACACCCTATTCGTATAGGCTATCGCGAAGGCCAGGAAACACATGAAGCACTGCCAGTGCCTGAGGCCCAATACTCCTGTGGAATGAACTATTTTAGTCAGACGCTGATGGAATCGGAGGAATTCAAAAATATTGAAAGTCGAATATCATGAGTCACATATAAAGTCAATTATTTTGTCAAATTTGATTTTCTATGTATGGGTTTCGAGCCATCTTCTCACATGTGATAACAACAGCAACATTTGATCGTAATTGAAAACAAAATTCCGAAATTTAGAAAGAAATGAGTAGATTTAAGCCTCTACGGGTACACTGGGGTTGCTCATCACCCCACTGTATTTTCTCTCGAATTATGAGCGATGGGGGCATTCAAATGGTCTGCGACGCGATTGGTGCATTGATTTTTTTTGCTATCGTTCCACTTTGCCCCACTCGCCTGAACCTCGGAATTTTTCCAGAATCTTTTATATCAGTAGCGAGTTTTTGAGGAATATTTCCGAATCTGAGGGAGATAGCAAAAATTTTGTAATTACATTTGTTGTAGCTCTCAATCGGCGCTGCAAGAAAGGTTGTAACAAAAATTTTGCTATCTCCCTTAGATCTCGAGATATTCAATGAAAACGCGTCAATAGTCAAAATTGACTTGTACCGTTTTACCACTTTAATAGTGATATGTTTCTCACGATATTCAACACCGAACATGCGTTCCGCCAACTGTAACGTATGACATTCCGCCTTCCACGTGAGATCACTCAAAATTTCACTCGTAACATTGGGATTTGAAAATCGTTATATTTTCCTTCGCCCACCGTTCTTGAATCGTTTACAGACCTGGATGGGCTTCATCAGTGCTGTTGATAACATCCGCCTTGAGTACAGCCATGTTCCACTCGGTTCATTTAATCAATCACATTGTTCGCGGAATACATCGAAATGAATCAGAGACAAAGTCGCTGACTCTTTATTAAGAATGTTGATAATTCTCCCACTTATTCTTTTTTCTGTGTCAGGCAGCAGCAGCAATGATATCTGACAGGAAAAATTTACACGAGTCTTATCGAAATCCGTTTTTTTATTTCAAGAAGTATTAAGGAGATAACTGCATGATACGATTCCATAAATATTTGCCTTTCTTTTTATCATTTTGCAGTTAAAGTAGCTCTACCCTTACGGTAAATTCAAAGATTATTAAAAACTGCAAAAAATTGCAGAAAACTCGATTAGATTCGGAATTCTAATTTTTTTCTCAATTTAATTATCGTTTTGGTTTTTCAAAGAAGAAATGTTTAAAAATCAGGATTTAACCCAGTGTCTTATGTGAAAATCAACATTTCCATTGGAATCAAAGATTAAAATCTGATTTTTTTCTCATTAGACGTGAAAAAATCAAAAATTTTTTTGACACCTCATAAAAAATCATCCACCATTTTGCAAAGAAGTTTTATTATTGATTTACAAGAGAGGAATGTTTGAAAAAATATCAATATTTTGTGAAATTTAATTTAGATAATAGTGAATTTTTTCAAATTTTTTCCATGCAATTTGGTTAAAAAATTTAAAAACTGAAAATATCTTAAAGTTAAATATATATTGAAGCTCACCGGATGTTTCCTATGTGTAATAGGCCTGAAGGTCATACATGTCGCAATAAAAATAAATAATAAATTTGAAATCTTTCACACGTGTGGCCACGAATTTACTCACTGCGATAATTTTGATAACGCCAGTATAAATGTTGCATAAAGAGTAATACTAATATGAGATCATTGATATTCAAAGTCCACGGGAAGTAGGCATGGAATTATTCCTATCTTGCGATCTATGATTGAGAATTTCGATTAAATGAAATTCTCTCAGTTGTCTTCTGTCCCGTCGATTGTGACGGCATATCTTGTACAAGCGCAAACAAGCTTGCGACGTATCCACACATTCTTATGTCTATACATTTTTTGACCGAAGGAGGATTTTTGTATTCATCATATTTTTATACATTTTATAATCATTTTTTTTTTAATTAAATGAATAGGGAATAAACGTCAATATTTTATATGGTAACTTAACTTCCCCATTCTACCACGACCCACGGGAAATCTCGCCGAGATGTTCGTAGAAAATTATTCAAGTTGAAAGAAAATCTTAAGAAAACAGAATTTTTTCCTACTTTCCATTTCAAAAAGCGCGCACGATGATGTTTTTGGTATTTTTTTCGTAATTTCATTTCAAAGATGTTCATCTATTTTTTGAAAATCTTATTTATGTCATTAGGCCCGATAAGCCGCGATTCTAACCTCGCTTTCCTCGGTTAGATCGCGGTTTTCGGGGCCAACGACATAAAATATCATATGTCACACGGCGATAGAAACATGTGATTATAATCCTCGCCTTCGGCTCAGAGCCTTCGGCTCGGATTATAAAGCCACATTCGCCAGATAATACTTTTATCGCCTGATGACATAATCCACTATTTCATTACTTGTACGTAAAGTAAAATTTTGCGCACGCTCCGCGGACGCAAAATCCCACTTTTCACACACACGGAGAAAAGAATTCCAGAAAAATTACTGTACCAGCACGGTAAAATAGTCTCGTTTGGACGGACCCAGACAAATTCCTGAAGTGCACCGCGGCAGAAATGCCGGTGCTGGCACGGGAATTTTTTCTCCGTGCATTGTGGCGAAAAAAAGGATTCAAAACTCCTGAAGTATCAAATTTTTTTAACCATTAATATTTCTCCAGTGTAATTCTATAAGTTGAAAAAATCCTGAGTTCTTTTGAATACATGCGCCTTTGCATTTTAAAAATTCATCAATAATTCGTATTGTTTGGATTTTAAAAAAATCTGCCAAAAAAAATCCTAAGTGATGTTCACTTCGAAATGATCATTCAATTCCAATGAGTTATTCCTCGAAATGAGAAAAGAAACCTGAAAACCAATTTTCTACTGTTGTATAGGACTTTGTTGTTAGAGACAGCCGGAAATTGTGGATGAAAGAATCAGTTAACAGAAGAAAAGAAGATTATGAATCGAAAGGTGGCGTCTTATCGTGACTGTATATCCCCCCCCCCGGCCCCCCTATCCCGATCTGCGGCGCTCAAGAGTGTTTAGGACGTGAAAACGATGGGTTCGGTCTCGCTGGCACGAATTGGAAAACAATGGATATGCCACACGCGTATGGCACTGTGTAAATAAGTGCCTGAGTTATTCAGAAAGGTACTTAACCCAACTCTGATGCAGTTTCTGCTCGATGCACAATCAACTTCCGGGTTCATTTAAATCCGTTTGAAATTTTTTCCGGTGTTATTTATTCGAAGACGATTGTTTCAGATCTCACGATGGAGAGAAATGTTTAATTGGAATTATGGAACGATGGGTGGAGTTATTGCTTCCCGAACATTTCTCAATCTTAACGAGAATGAGGGATTTTTTTTTTGCTTCCGCATGGAAGTTTTGTTATCATTCGAACTCAAGTTTTGGATTTTTTCGCTAATGAAGGGACGGAATTGATTTTTTTTTCAAGTGTAGGTATTGTTGAGTCCTATCAATCCTCATTAACTAAAAAAATTAGTCAGTGAATTAAATTTTAATTAATGGCGATGGATAGGGCTTAGCAATACCTACATTTGAGAAAAAAATGATTCAATTTCCTCTATTCATTAGCGAGAAATTGAAGACCTACATACGAACGTATGGACAACGTCTACAAAATGGATTTTCAGACTTTTGAGATCCTAATGGGTCGATATAACACAAAAAATGGAAAATTAAATTTGAACGATTGCAATGCTTCCATTCAGAAGCAAAAATATTCAGAATTGACTGAATGATGTTTTAAAAAATTTGTTTGGGTGTATTTTTGATCGAGGTAGAAGATGGCGGCGATAGCAATAATAGATATTTTGATTTATATATACAAATTTCACCAGAGTTCCCCTTGAACCCATAAATAAATAATTATAATTAATTTTTTATTGCAATCGTCGTCGGCATTTTTAACATTCTACATTCTGGCACTAGGAACGACATTTCCCGCGAAAAAATCGGGAAATGTCAGCTATTTAATAAATAAATTTCGCTTTGCCAGACGCTCCTTAGACTATCACAGAAAACCCAAAATATTTTCGTAACCAGCGAATTTCCAAGAATTCGAAAAAAAATTCAGTTAATTTATTTGAAACGCATGGTAGTCACCACCCACAATGAAAAACGAACAGTCGTATACACACATACACGTTCAAGAATGCAAGGTACTCGAAACTCGAGTGACAATGGTGGCCGCTTTTGAGTGACAATGTGAAAAAAAAAGTGAAGAAAAAAGAAAGATGAAACTGAATAAAGATGGCATTGAAACGTAAATGAGCTGAGTTATGGGTTTGGACTTGTTCTTTGGGATCGTGCGCACCCACATCCGTTTGGCTTTTCAAACGAAACAACCCAAAAACACGTTACGCAAATTAATGTTAACTTTGCATGGGCCACCGAGTCATGATATTTCAGTCACAAATTTGTTGAAATTCGTGAGGGGCTTTGTCTTGCAAGACTAATTGCTGGCCTTTTTTCAACTCATTCAAATGTTTTCGCTCTTGGATTTCAATTTTGTTTTCGAATAGTGTGGAATGTACGATGTCCTTCAATCAATGATGTCGTTTAATCAAGACTTTATATACATTATCCGCTTTTTCCTGACAGATTCCATATTTTTTTTCAATTTTTAGTTATTTCACACGGTAATTCAATTAATCTGTTGTTCATCTCATCAATATAATTAAAATTATAATAATTATTATTATTATCATAATTATAATTAAACTGAAGTGATTATATAATAATAATAATTATAATTGTTATTATTATTAATTAAGAATCAATTAATCATTAATAATAATAATTAAGCACAGAATTATATTATAATGCCGTACTTAGAATATTGTCATCTCGTCTTTTCAGCACCTAATTAAAAATTAAAGCCCAATTTGGAATATTGAGTCACAGCTTCTTTTAATTCATATTTCATTCTCACTACTGTCGCTCAAGAATTTATATTTTTATAATTATAACTAAAACATCAAATTCCAAACATTGAAACAGAAAAGTAAAAAATTCTGGCGATTGATCAATCAAAATCTGTTTTAATAAAGATGAATCGAACCGAAGATTATGTTTGTATGACTCAGAAAAACATTTTTTTCGATGAAAAAAGTCAATTGACGAAAAATATTGAAGGTAGAAAAAATGTTAAATTCTATTCTGAATTCAAAACTAAAATATAATCGGAAAATCCCGGTGACCATCTGCTACTAATTCACTATATCTCTCTACATTCGGCAGTTGATAACAGAACTTTCTACGAAAAGCAATCCTCATGTCAAACAAGTAGAGCTCGTCCATACCCCCTCCATTCGTATTTTGAAAAATTGTGAAAAGGGAAGTCTTCTGACATATTTTCATGAAATCACTCATTCCTGAGGTGACTAAACAATTAGCAAAGACTTTCAGTTTAATAAAAACGAGAGATGTGAGGAAAAATCATCCAGATCTTCATGAATTCAAATGTTGATTTTCAATTTTACTTCCAATCTCCTACAAAATCCTCAGAATTGAATTCCCGGTAAAGGAGTTAAGAAAGAAAATAAAGAAATTCCACATATGGTAAATTACAAATGACATTTTTATTCTATCAATCATAAATTATGGCCCTATTGGATTTAATCGCAGTACAGTCTTCATTCATCGGTGATTATGGTCCTGAAAAAACTTTAAAAAATTTCCTTAATCCCTATTGATACATAGAATTGTAAATTTCATTTCATATAAAATTTTTCGTGTAAAGCTTACCAGAGACATCAATATACCAAAGATATATTTTTAAATATGATAATTAATAAATCGCATAGACTCTATACACTTTGCAAATAAATTCAATACATATTCACCAGTTTATAGATTTTTTTTTCATTCATTGGTATATAACATTTCGTTTAAACACGTACCAAAAGCAGTACCAACGTTTAGTACCTCGTATAAAAAACTTCTCCCCTTGCATCGCAAAAGAAAATAAATTACTATCAGGCTACTGTCAATTGAATTTTCCTCCGTAATTTTCATTTCTGTGAGAAAAAAAATCAGAAGACACTCAAAAATGCATAATAAATGATAGAAACTTCAGCAACAGGAATATAATTGCCCTAAAACTACGAAAATGGTTTAGAGTGAAGACTATTTTCATTTTGTGAGGATGTCTGGTCCAGAGAGGAGAAACAATTCTGAATTAAATCTAGTCTCTCTATTCCCATCTCACAATATCTTGACGATCCTTCATAAATTTTTCATCGATGCCTTAACATCGAGTTTCAACTTCATGCGTGTCCTGAGGGAAAATGTAAAAGGGGCTTTTTCGTGGAAAATTTCATTTTCCACACAATTGTGTGTCCAAACTTTCTCCGATAAGATTTCGAAAAAATCTCCGGGATTAAGCAAGAAGATCAATAGATAGACACCGACCGCAAGATGACGGTTTCAACTTTCTTTGAATATTCTATAAATAATATCATGGGAATTGTACTAATTTCAGTTTTTAATATCAATAATAATGCGTAACTTTTTTTATTCCTTCATTGTTTCCCCTTTAAATAATTCCATTTCCATCGTTCGTTTATTGAGATGGTTCAATTATTTTTCATCTCTCAACGAACCTCGACGCCCCCTTAAGGTATTTCCTGAGTCTAATTTTGGGGTCAAAGTGGGAATAATATGATATATTTAACCCTTTTGACGTGAATACGTCCGTTTCTATTATGGAGAGGGGAGGCATCTAGGGAAAAAGTCCTTATGGTTCCTTATCGGCAGTGGCGCCATCTATCGGAATTCCAGAACATTCCAGATTTTTCTAGAAAATTCTATAACATTCTCCATTTTTTTTGGAATAAATTACAATTTTAAGGAATCCTTAGCGCTGATCGGCAATACACCGAGTTATTATTGCACGAAGTAGATAAAATTTGTAGATCAGAAATTTTGGATGTGAAGACCATAGACGTATCCCCGTAAAATTACGCACCCACAGATTTTTTTAACAAAAAAAAATGAACAGACAATTGTGTTTGGACTCCTTGCGCCATATTTCTCCCCATTTCAAGAATTTTTCCTCAAAATTTCGCATTTTTTGTACATCGTCGTCTGTTTCCATATAACAAACTGAGGAAGCACCCTAACCGTCCATCTATTGGTCTGCTTGATCAGGAGAAAGAATTAAGATAATTTTATTCCCCCTCTTCCACATGCAGCCCACAAGGTTTTTTCCGTTCGACTGATCAAGACTTGACTAGTCAGATCTCCCCTCGGGATTCGAACTGGGAACCTTTCGCATCTGAGTCGAGCGCCTAGCGAAAAATATTGAGACATTCATCTAAATATATTTCGCACATAAAAATGCGAATTTCTGCAAATTTTAATCCTAAATTTTAGAGATTCTACTCCATTCGCCTTTCAGACGCTCAATGGAAAATTGGAAATATATCCCTGGAAACAAAAACTTTCGTCTCTCCACGTACATCATTTCACCTGAATCCACCTGTTGACCTTCCTAAACCGAGGCAGTGTCCTCAGTATTCCTCAACAACGCAGCAGCCTTCACCACATCCCCTCCGCACTGGCTCAACATGACTTTGCAGTCCTCAAGCCCGACGAAGTGATTCTCCTTCTTCAACAGGCCCTGAAGACGCTCCAGCTTGATAGCCGCCAGAACATCCCAATCAGTGACATTGAGGGCAGCTACACAGGACTCAGGGGTTGATTGATCGTGCAGGACCTTCAGCATAATCCGCACCTCGTCCGACTGTTCGCCATTGTGAGGGCCTCGAGTTCTTCGAGCGTTCGGCCCATCGCAAGCGAATTCCAGGAGATCTTCACACGAAACGTGATCCGATTGCCTAGATAAATCACTCGTTCTAGCTCTTCTGCTGTCAACGTCTGATATCCCCTCGTTTTTATTTAATTTTAGAACTGGCACTTGAGAATTTTGGAAAGACTCTTTTGGCTCTTTTGCATCGTCGTACGACAGCTTCGAAGACTCTGATTGGATTTCCTTGAAAATAGGTTGGCGGGAAGATGTGGGAGAGTCCTGTGGGGTTTTTTGGGATTCCAGGGAGGAGTTTTGGGATTCTTTGGAGTCGCAATCTATCAGGTTCTCGGAGAACTCGAGGAGATCCTCGGAGATGACGCTGCAACGGTGGAGACGATTCGATGAGGGCTCGGGGGGAAGGCTGTCCAGGGCTGCCAGGTCGGAGGCTATTCGTCTCTCGAACTCGTCGGGACTGGAAATGACCTTGGAATTAGCTTCAAATAGATTTTGCCCCGTATAACCACGAGAAATTTGATTTTTTCCTGTTTTTATCTTCAAAACGCTTCTTACGCCGTAGTTTTCATGCGATTTTAGCTTTTTTTTTTTAATGTTCGTTACACTCCAGTTAAGCATCCATTTTACTTTATTTGCAATAGATCATGATCATTTGGGGATTGGAATTTTTATCAAGATAAAGGGAATAACTTCATCTCTCAGTTGAAAAAAAATTTTTTTTTGAATACTCGCGATTTTATTTTTTTTTCAATGCATTTATAATATTTTTTTCTACGAACAAAAGTTGCAGATGAAAATTTTACATCCAACCGATTGAATCATATTAAATCGTCTCGTTTAAGTTAAAGTTAAATTGCGATTTGTTGAATAATTTGTTTGTTATAAATAAATTTACCACGTTCGAGGATCTCGACAATCAACTGTCGCCAAAGATTGAAATTGGTGTCAACAATTAGGAAATTCTCTGGGAGTTTATTTCAAAGTTCAATACAGCCAATGCATTTTATTTCAATTATTTTCGTTCGACTGTTTTAAAGTTATCGTTCATTGGATAATGGAGTTGACGTGCCGCAAGTCTCCCGGCCATTGTCAATCACAAATTTTTAAACAACTCATCAGCCCTCGAAACCTACCTGTTTGGAGCGGCTTCCGAAGTGCTCGCCTCTCCCGCCCGCAGCCCCGGCTGCTCGCAGCTCGCAGAAGGTCCATCCACCTGGTCCTCCATCGCCGCGTTGACCGCCATCTTCGCCAGAGTCCGTGTCACCCCATCCCCAGGGATGATGAGCGGATGCTTTCGCTGATGTCTAGGAAGACTCGACTTGGGCTGCAGCGTTTTCGATCTGTCCCTCGGGGGCAGCGGAATCGGATTCTCGTCCACATTATTATGATTCTGATTGTTCTCAATCCCAATAGCTGAGCTGTGTCTCTCCAGTGACCTAGATGTCCCCATCAACGGCACATTCGGTGGCAGTGGCGTCCTTATCTTCGGCAGGGTCGTCGATCCCACATGATTAAAATCACACGAGAAGTTGGAGTCAACAATCTCTTCAGATGGTGACAAACTACTACTGAAACTTGACTGACGACTAGTGCGCAATTTTGAACGGACCATTGGCAATCCAGATCTAAGCATTCTCAAGGGATTCGTATCAGTCGTATTCTCGAGGACTTGTGTCTCCACCAGACTGTTGTACACCTCCTTAGCTTCGTCCGAGAGTGTTGCCTGTTCAACAATTTTTTGTTTTTTGGTTTTTTGGGGGATAGGATAACAAAAAAATTGGATAAATTATAAATTAGAAATCATGAATCAAAATGATCAGATAAAATGAAGAAAATAAATGGTAAATTAAATCATGCGAGTGAAGTAATCATGTGCACTTGGTTTGGTTTTTTTCTTGTACTTTTTTTTTGTTTGTTTAATTATTAGTTCGTGTACAAATGGTATAAACTTGTAAATATATCCAAAGTTTGTGGTTTCTCATTTTTTTTTTCATAATTGTCATTGTATTAATACTACGAGGATTATTTGGGACAATTCATGCAAGCATGCTAAGCGTAAACACATTGTTTTGGTAATAAAGTACGGGGGTAGTTATCGGTTCGGTTTCGGGGGGTTGTGGCACTTGATAATTATTTTTTTTAAGGTTTTTGAATATTGCGGCGAAAACTCGTAGGCGGTGGGGTGAGAACGTGGGAAAAACCGGGTTTATTGGTGACTTCTTCTTTGGTTCTTCGGATGGTGATGGGTGATCCGTTGAATCTTGAAATCGGAAGTCGAGTGGGTAGATCTAGAACACGCGGATTTGCGGATTGGGCTGCAGAGATTTTTGGAAAGAGGGGTTTGTATTACACCCTTCTCGCCAAAATGCACGTTTTTTAAATTCTTGTAGTAAATTGTTGATCGGATTGACGTGAAAAAATATACCGTTTTTGCGTTCTGTCATTACTTAATGACTCACGAAATTTCATGAGCGTGCAATCATTTTTTTGCGTTTTTTCTCAAACTTTTCGGAGTCAGTCAATAATGATAAAACGCAAAAACGGTATATTATTCCGCGTCAATTCGATCAATAATTTGCGAGAAAAATGAAGAAAAAAAACGTGAATTTTGGCCGAAAGGGGGTAGTACATCTTTCGGTCAAGTTTTCGCTGAATTCGTGTGAATTTGAAGAAGATAAAGAAAACTTCCATTTTGCTCTACAAAAAAGGTCCTGAGATGCCCATGAAAATTTCCTCATCTCCCTGAAATCCAAGCAAGCTTACGCGCACGAAAAAAAATCATAGAAAAGCCTAGCGAATTCAATAATGAATTCTATCAATTTTCGGCCGATTGATGTTTTTCATCAAAAATGTAAAAAAAAATATCTTGTAGAAAAATTCAGCGGAATTTCATTCTTATTTCTTCCATTGAGAAATTTCTGTAGGAAATCCATGACATTCCCAATTTTTTTTTCCCAATTTTTTTTTCATGCCTTTTTGCTTCTGAATGGAAGCATTGCAATTGCCCAATTTTCGCATTCTCTAATTTTGATTAGAAATGATGTAGAATGGTCTGAAACGCAAAAATACTAAGTTTGGCGACCATGTCTGCATTAGATCTTGCTGTAAAAAAATGCCATTTTCGCCATCAATGGATTGCGAAAAAAATAAGACATCACTCAGTGAGACGCTCACTGTCCCCTGCTTGTTTCTTCTCTTCTCATAAAAAAAAATCAACCAAAAAAACTTGGAGAATTCAACCCCAGGAATGTTCAGAAAACATTTCAATAAAATAATTTGCATAGAAAACTCAAATTCCCTTGACATTTTCAATCCAATATTTTCCATTCAACATTCCTATTAAAAAAAAACGTGCAGAGCTGTGTAAATTTTCCACAGAATGGGCCGAAAACTGATAGAAATCCAATCGAATTTCCCAGCGAGAGGTTTTTCTGTGACACATTCTTCCTACGTGTGACTGATCACTCCCTGACACACGCCTCCATCTCTACCCCTTCATCCCCCACCATTCACGGTGCAGGCGAGGGTGGAAACGTCAGCGTATCCTGCGTAAACTCCGGATACTCCGAGCTCGTATCCGAATCCAGCTCCGAGTTACTCGTAAAAGTCAAGCTGGAGCTGGGCGCGCTTTCCGGCCAAGAGACTAAATTATTCCTCGACGCGAAAGGCGGCGACAGTGAATTCAGAAAACTCGTAGAAGGCGGTGGTGACTTTCCCGTCACCTCCAGCCCCATTCCCCCCCTCCTCGCGCTATCGGGATTCAATAATGCCCCCTTATTCTTGAAATTGAGTTTGAACCCCTGCGGAATCTTCCTGTACCGTCTCTTGAATTTCAATCGACTCCGGATATCAGTCTCCGAATGTGAGATGGAGTCAGAGTCCTCACTCGACTCATTATCAGGATGATAAGACCGCCTGATTCCCTTGATCGTCGTCTTCCTGACTTCAGACAACGAGGAAGTCCGGTGTCGATAGACATTGGGAGTCCCTTGCACTTTATCGACAATAATTTCCGGCTTGAGCTGCTCCTTCACCACATCATTCTGGTAGATCTTGGATGGCTCAAGGATGTGTGAACGAAGGGGTGAACTGTTCCCCCCGCCTGGACCACCAGACCGAAGATTAGAATGCCCCAAATCGAGAACCAAATTCTTCTGCAGTTTCATGGAAACAGCCGACTTCGTCTCATTCGACAACTGGGGATTCCCCGTCTCGCTGGGATTCCCCTCATTCCTCAATCCCTGATTATCCGTTCTGAGACTCGACATTCGGGGGAGATCGAGGTTCCGCGAATTTTGAGCAATGTTCTTCCCCAATTGTATCATATTCTGCGTCAATTTACCCAATCCCAGATTAAACCTCTGTCCCTTCTTGGCATCCAGGTAATTCTTGACCGACTCCAGGCCCGAAACTTCTCGCTGGTACTTCTCAGCGAAAATCTTACTGCTCAAATCCTCTTGATTGTTAGCGTCGACGTCTGATTTACGTCGCAATCGTTGGAAATTCATTCTGAGGCTCTCTGAGCTGCTGTAGACCGGCGATTCTTTCTTATCGGGCTCGGAGATAAATAACGGATTATTGGAGATGAGGAAGGGAAAATTGTCGTGGCCATTTTTGTTCTCCTCGGTCTTTCGATAACTCTGAATTTTCACTCGAACCGACTCCAGATTTGGCCGAGGGGCTCGAATTTTCTGGAGTTCCAGGCGCTTCTCCACGTCCTCTCGAGAGATATTCAGCTTTATCGAGCCCGGAACCTTAGGGCGGGTTCCCAAGTCGTAATTGGAGAAGGATTCAGTGGTGAGATCGAATGATTTCGCTTTGGATCTTGGGGATTCTGTGGGGTCATTCGGTCGTGGCGTTAGGTCTCTGAAGTCCTGATTGTTCATCACTTTCTCCTGCATCATCTTCTCTCTGCGCATTGAAATCTCCTCGTAGTTCTTCCAGTACTCGCTCCTGTTGGTCTCGTCCATGTTGTTTACGTTTTCAATCCTCTGGGGCTCATTCCCGAATGTTTCTAGGGATCTCTCGATGCAGTTGAAGCTACCCTCGTCCTCGTAGTATGTGGAGACGTTCGACTGATCGAAGTATCGATCTACGTAGCTAGCCGAGACTCTCTTGACGTCTCTTGGAATCTCTAGGTTCGGGTTGGAGCAGTAGGACTTGCCGTTGACGTTCGGCGCGTGATTCCGTTGGTCCAACGGATTCTTGGGCAAACGAGGGGTCATGTCCTTGCGGTTACCGTTCTCGAGAAACTCCGAGGACTTGACGAGGTGCTGCTTGATAGCCTCGTTGTCCAGGAAGTGACTCTCGAAGTCCACGTCCATGTAGGACGTCCAGGCACTTGGTTTTGTCAAGAGCTCGCGGGATTTCGCGAAACAAAATTCGGCCGAGGCTTTGTCCCAGAGGGGGAGCTTCAGGGTAGAGGGCGCACCGAGGGACTCTATGCTTGATACTGTTGAGGAGAGGGATTGCAGGCTTGTACAGAGCCACTGGGGGTTTCCAAGTGCACAAGTGATAAATTAAATGATAATTAAGTGGGAGGATGGGAGTGGGGAGAGTAAATTAATTGTGTTAGTAATTGTTTTGACGTTTGTGGAGATTTTTTTTTTTCATTGGGTTTTTGAATCAGGAGATGGGGATGTGGCAGCATATTTTTCGTTGGCGATAATTGTTTGGGCGTTCCATTGTGAGGGGTATTGCTAGTCGTACAGGCGTCTTGAAGAAGGGCAGTTCTAGCAGAAAATTTTGAGAAGCTCTTTTGATGGAGAATTTAATTCTCTTCGGCAAAGGACTAATTATTCAGGGAGGTTCACCCCGAAAAAAATTGATTTTTCGAGAAATGATTGTTAAAAGTACTGTTTTTCGCAGAATTTTGTTGTAGGCATCCGGCAACCGCTCGAAAATTGAAATTTGAATTTTTTGTAATCGGAAATTCAGCTTTTAAAAAATCCTGAAAAATTTGTTCCCAATCGTACTAAAAAATTATTCTAAAAATGTGTAGATTGGGGATTTTTTAAAGTTAAATTTTCGATACAAAAATTCAAATCTTTAATTTTGAGCGGATTCTTTCGGAAAAATTATCCGGAAAATGGTACTTTTAAGTTAATTTTTTTCGAAAAACGAAAAAGTTTTTCTCCCGAAGTTAAATTCCCCTTAATGAAATATTTTGAGAATTCAATCTGTCAGTTGTGAAATTTTGCAGTAAAAAATATCAATAAGCTACCATATCCTCGAAAAATCTCATCTCCTCATTCCAATAAGTCACAGATTTACTCTAAAGGCACCAGGAATTAACAAAGCTCCTCATGATATCGTGTAATAATTGAAGTTCGTTGATTAAATATGTACAGAGACAAATGTTTTGTCGAAAGGAAAATTGTTAGTGTTTTCAATGTATTGTAATAAATGTAAATAAATAAAAAATAATGTGTATACCTGGATGTCAGGTATACTGGCAGCTTCCTCGGAAAAGTGTCGCCTATCGGGTTTGGGACTGTGTTGATGTGGCAACTTAAAACTGAATTTTCTGCGTCTTGAGGGGCTTACTGGTGTGCGTGGTGATTCTGGTGGATGCTCAAGATCCGACATTGAACGAGCTGTCAATTCCTGCGCCATTGCTATCGCCGAGTACAATGTTTTCTGATCAGCGGCAGATATTGGTTTCACCTGGATCATTCATATTTGTTGAAAATAAAAATAATCATTGAGTGGTGAAGGGATGAGAGCAGAACAGAAGAAGCTCCACACTGTTAAAATGTTTGGTTGAAATTTCATAATTTTTAAAAAGTTTTTCTCCATATTTTTTATTTTACTGATTTCAGAAAAAAATTTCAGTTTTTTTTTCTCAAAAATTCTGATACTTTCTCCGGAAAATTCAGTAGTTTTCTCCTGTTCTTCACCACTTCACGACAAAATTTTCGCCCTAATAATGAATCCCTCGTCAGTTTCCAATGATTTAATAAATGAATTTTGTTGCGTGTTGCACATTCCAATCGAAATAATATAAATTTTGATGAATAAACAAAATAAAAAATAATTTTGTAACAAATTTATAAAACTGAAAGTCTAAATAAATAAAAATAAAGAAATTTTACTGTACATTTATAGGACTCACGGTGGCTTGTTTCTTTTTGGAGCTCTGTTTGGCTTGGATTTCCCTCAATTCATTTCTAGCATTACTGGCCTCATGATCGGTAGACCCTGGATGGCCTGGAGGTGGTGGTGGTGGTGGTGAAGTTCCTGAAAAAATCACATTAATTGTTGTTCAGCAGATTCACTGAAATTTTGAGAAGAATATGAAGAAAATCTATTAATTTCCAACATATTGGTCTCCCCGTGCACTTTCAACGTCCCTTTTTCTTCAATATCTCCAATAATCTTGCAATAAATCCAAATATGATGCCAAACTATTTCATATTTAACTCGAAACTCCTAATTTTTCGAATAATTTGTTCAAACAACTGTCTCATGAACTCTGAAAAAAATCTAAAACTTGTGCGTGTTCTCAAGAAAATTAGCCCCAACCCCAGCCGGAAACCCCGCAATTACCTAACGACCTGAACATCTGGTCCATCTCATCCAGCAGACTGGGTCCAAAGTCGAAGTTCAGTGGCTTATCAAACCTCAGTGGGCTGTCCTGGTTCTCCTCATCGCTGATCTCATGATACTCATGGTCAGCAGGCAGGCCCTCCACGCCCCTCTTCCCGCCGGCCTTGGCCTTCCCGCCATTCCCCATCACCACGTCGTTCCCCTCCCAGACATTCTCATGCTTGGCCTCCTGCCCCCTGCTATTCCTCCCCATCTCGCTCCAGCACTCCCTTCCCTCCCTGACGTCCCTCCCCTCCCTCCCATCCTGATTGAAAATCTGGCTCGAGTTGTCAGGCACATCCTCATGTGGTTTGTAAGGAGTCACCACCTGCCTCGGCAGATGCGGATACTTTCCCCCGAGGAAACTGATGTCCCCGAAGTAAGCGCCATCGAGTCCAACGTGCCCCGTGTGCTTGAGATCCCCCTGAGGTGAAGAGATCATGTCAGTGCGAATCTTCCTCCTCTGCGAGGAGAAGGCGTTCTTCCCATCCCCCCTGGAGAACTCCCCAGGCTTGTTGCTGGGCAGGTTAGACCCCAGATAAGCTATTGTGTGCGCAGGATTGAAGAGACCAGTCTTGCCACTGGGGAGAACTCCCTTCCAGAGGATATTGTTGCTTCCCTTATCGAGGACTGTGATTATGTCCCCCTGTCTGTAGGACAACTGGCCAATCTCCCCGCTGTCCTGCACTGCCTGCACCTGTTCGGGCTTCAGGTCAGGGAGGAGATTGATGAGTTCAGAGAACTTGGGGCGTTTGGCGGGCTCGTGCTGCCAGCACTGGAGCATCAGGGAGAAGTAGTCCTTGGGGCAGCAGTCCGGTTGCTCCAGGCGTTGGAAATTGGGCTCGTCGATTGCCTCCAGGATCTGGTGACCCGTCAGCGCGGCCCAAGGCTGGAAGCCGTAACTGAACATCTCCCAGAGGGTCACTCCGTACGCCCAGACGTCACTTGCCGACGTGAATTTCAGGTAGGAGATGCACTCTGGGGCACACCAGGCGATGGGGAGCTTCAGGTTCACGTTGAAGTTCGTTTGGTAGTAGTCCTTGCCGACTCCTAGGGCTCGGGACAACCCGAAGTCGGAGATCTTTACCTGTGGGGAGGAGAATTCCGAATTACGAGGGGAATCAAGCGGAGGGAATAATTGAATCAAAATTCAGTAGCGAAGTCGATTTTCACTATTGGCCATTTTTCAGGGAATATTTCGAAATCTAAGGGAGATAGCGAAATTTTTGTTAGGACCTTTTCTGTAGCTCTCAATTCGCTCTAGAAAAAAGGTTATTATGAAAATTTCGTTATCTCCTTGAGATTCGGAGATACTCTTCAAGAACTCAACTCAACTCAATTGGTTTAAGTCGACTCATCTCCCAGTTGAGTTTTTGAGGAATATCTTCGAATCTAAGGGAGATAGCGAAATTTTCGTAATGACATTTGTTGTAGCTCTCAATCGGCTCTACAAAAAAGGTTGTAATGAAAATTTTGCCATCTCCCTTAGATTCCGAGATATTCATTGAAAACCGGTCAATAGTCAAAATTGATTTGTGCCGTTTTACCACTTCGCTGCTGAATTTTTCCATCGAACCTGAAAAATTCCAGAAAATCCCCAATATTCTGAAAAATGAGAATGTTTCCAGACTTTTCAAGTCGATAAGTCGAATCTCCTCAATCCCTCTCACCTTATTCTTAGAGAACACCAGGATGTTCCGGGCTGCCAGGTCTCGATGGATCAGTCTTTTGGCCTCTAGATACTGCATACCGTCCGATATTTGAATTGAAAAGTCGCACAGAGACAGAACGGGAAAGCTGCCTCGTAAACTAGGCTCTTTCAGGCATTCTAATAGCGAGCGAAGTGGCGCTAATTCGGTGACTAGCATTAGAGAGTTTGTGTCTAGCACCACACCGTACAAGCGTACGATGTGTTCGTGATCAATAGCATGCATAATCGCAGCTTCTTTGAGAAATTCAATGGGATTATTCTGCATTCGCTCTCGGGAGAGACACTTTATGGCCACTTGAATCCTCTCTCCGTCGTTCGTCCAGACGCCCTGCTGGACAACCCCAAACTCCCCCATCCCCAGCTCCTTGTTCACTATTATTGCGTCCGCTGGGATCATATGCTTGTTGGGGACTTTTATCGGGGGTTTATCTTGCTTCTCTTCGGGGAGAATGGCCAGCGCCCCTGAGGGCGGCTCCTCACGCTTTGAGAGGAGCATTTTCTTGAATTTTGAGAGGTAGTTCTGGGGAAAGTACTTCTGGAAGTACTTCTTTAGGCGACGCATCTCCGGTTTTGACATCCCGATCGCGTTTAAGTCCTCTTCTGTTACGTACTTTAGTTGGGCTGTTGTTTGAACCTTCAGGTCACCTACAATTCATGCATTTTTTACGGACTCTTAATAAAAATTCGTCATCTTTCGTACTATTGGAGATATCGAAATTCTTAAAATTCCTCCATGAAATAGATGAAATTATCAACACGATGCGACTCGTTTTTTTAAAATTATTTTTAATATTTTTCTTCAATAGATGAATAATACGGAACTGAATTCGATGTCAGGGCTGAGTTTTTTTTTAAAACCCCATGGCACTCGCCCTGAGAGATAAACCACAGTTCTCAAATAAGTTTTACTTATGCCAAGATAATAGTTTTTTTGAAAACTATCAAAAAAGGATTTTTTGTGCCAAACATGCAGGGAGTGCGCGGGAATGAGAAATTTTTGTCGCAAAAATAGATTTAGTAGTTCAAAAAAAATTGCATTCTCTGCGAGATATTTTCATCCTGAAAAGGCACCGTCTGGTGTGAATTATCCGCCTCTTGAGCCAAATATTTCGTTGCTGTCGAAAGCAGAACAATTATTCATGTTTGAGACTTTCAAATTCGAGCCAAACAAATTGTTTTTGGCAATTTTCTACTAGCGATTTTGTTGGCCCAAACAAGACTTGTTTGACAACGCTTTTGTTTTTCTCTGTGTAGCCGTGAACGATATTTTTCCGTAGTGATTTTCACTTTTACGAGTTTGGGGAAGGCCAGTACCAATTCCCGGACGAGGAAAAGTGAGGGTCAGTCCGGACAATAAATGGAAATTTTATTTGCTCGGTGATAATAAATTTTCTACGCGTCAGAATTCAAATCGGATATGATCTGTGTATACCCAAACGACTTCTTAAATAATACGCCAATTGTTTATATTTCGTCACTTGGTCAACGCAATCCAGTGACGCCGATAAATTTCACGCTGACAATGCTGAATGTCCACGTATTAAACAATAACGCAATTCACGAAATCTGAGGCGTGAAAGTTATCTCGGAAATGTCATTCTACTGTTCTCTAAAAAAATCTTATAAATGCATTGAAAAATTCGTTCATGGCCGCAAAGTCCAGAAAAGTCCTTTTATCTCCTGGACACTTTTCCGAATTCAACTCTGCAGATGTTGAGCCATGAGCAATTCGAAATTTCTCCGAAGAATTGTCAGACTTGAAATCGATAAAATAAAACTAAAAATAAATTCATACCTCGAATTCCTGCGTAGTACTGCTGCAGTTCAGCCTCCATGAGGAATTCGTACAGCCCCGGACCGGCGTTTCTAGAAATTCCACTCGAAATATCTGTCGGAATGATCCCCAAAGAGATTAAAATATTTGTCAAAAATGACTGAAAAATTCGTAATCCTAAAACTAACAAAAACTCATGCTTTCGTGTTTCCCGCTTTATCTGTCTTTCTCAGTGACTTATCGCGAGGATAATGCGGCGATAACCGAAGCGACATCAATATACATTGAACGTACACCTCGAGATATCCAATGACTGGCGTGAGAATTCAATGGCATCGAGTATCAATTACCAACAAAGGAGGAAAAAACGAACAAACTGGCGCAAATTCTTTTTCCACGTCTGACAAAGTTGTGCAATTTCATTGGGTGCGAGATGGAAGAACATATGGAACTATTTTTGTAATTGAGGAAATTATTTCACAAAATTAAATGAACAAAATTCTCGTACCTACACGCAGAAAAATGGTTTATTTGAAGTAAATAAAAATTATTTGAATCAAACAAATAGTTTATTTGATTCTAATAGAGGAGTCGTTTGATCCAAATAAAGTCTGAATTTTCCGGTTCACTTCTCGGAAATTTTTTCGAATTAAATTACCACTGAAATTTCAAGGAATTTCGTCATTGAAAATTTCAAATTTCGTGGAAACATCAGAGAGAACTGTAAATGTCACCTCCATTTTTCCGTGCAAATGAAGCGACAATTTCGGTAAATATATTCTTGAATTTTCAGAAAAGTAACACTAAATGCGATTTTTTTAAAATGAAAAATCATGAAATTCATATTAGATTGGAAATTCAAATAAATTAAGGAATTCTCGTCTTTATGCTGCTTAAAATTCTGGAGTATTAATGAATTTTCCGTGAAATCAGACATCTCATGATTATTTTTTTCCTTAAATTGCATTCAGTGTCACCGTCCTGAAAATTAGTGGTCAACTGTCCATGAAATTTCATTTTTTTTCCAACAGTGTACATGGACTCTCATGGGATTAAGGATCCCTACTCTGGCTATTGTCACTCATTGAAATAAACTTTCCCAAGAGACATAAGTTTGGATTTTTGTATCATATCGACACCATGATCCAAAAACTCTGAAAATGCAGTTTTTCGTGTGTGTACGTATGTAACAAAGATTTTCCTCAATTGTTCACCAATGAGTGGATGGCACTGAATCTTTTTTTTAAATGTAGATATTGTTGATCCCTCTCAATCGCCACTAATTAAATCCTAATTCATCGATTATTTTTTTTTTATTTTCAAATTTCGTCCAAAAACCGGCTGTCCCAAGGTAACTAAAAAAATGTTCTCAATTGATTAAATAATGGCTTAAAAAATTTGTTCGGATGTTCTCTTCAATTTTCTATTTTTCGAAAATTATAATTCCGGGGATATCTTTGAATATCGTGTGCAGTATTAAAATTGTCGTTAAACCTTTTTCATAGAAAACCCAGTCAAAAAGAAAAACATTTGATCTCATACTCTGTACTGTCCATCATCGGAGCATCGACCTCACTAGCAGGTGCCTTCCTCCCAAAGTACCAAGAGACCTATTACGATTAGAATTAGTTTCTAAAAAAAAATCTCTCGCGATTTTCCCCTGAACCTTCTCCCAGCCAAAAAAAACCCGCACGTTTACAAAACACGAGCAATCAACTCGTTCCCCTCCCCTCAATCAAATCCCATCAACAATGACTTATAAACAATTAGCAAAATCCCCAAGACCATTTTACGGGGGCACGCCTCACCAAAAACGCCCCTTCACCCCCCGAGCAAACCGCAGAACTCAACAATTTATAAATAGCGAATCACGAATTCAAGTAGTTCCCAACTAAAACAAATGAATCCATCACTCACCCATTTTCCAATCTCCGTCAGTGCCTCTGGACCTTCTCTAAGATGCCCACGAGCTCATGGAAGCTATCAGTTCCCGGCTGACCCTCAATCCTTCCCCCAAAGCCCTTAAAAATCACTATTAACAAATTTCACCACTCGAATCATTTTCCTCTCTCACAATTTCACTCATTGAAATAAACTTTCCCAAGAGACATTCGCACTCTCACGAGACTCCAATGAACACAACAATGGGGTTTTGTGCTTTGCTCTCTACACTTTACCGTGATTTCCACTGTCAACAGAATAGAGCCGACGAGAGCCGAATGCGAGTTGAATTGACTGTTTTGCAATTTTATTACAAAAATAAATTCTCTGATTGATTGAAAATAACAGTGTCATTGAAATTTAGATGTGAGAGATGAATTTTAACGTTTTACTCATCATTGGGAATAATTCAAGCGGTGATGCACTTTTACTCCACACATCTTGAGGCTTGTGCTCCCAATATACATCTTTAGGCTTAGAAATAAAGGAGAAAAACGTATTGATGTGAAATGGGGGACGAATCACGGGGGAAGGGCAGCCAGTGGAGTAGAATCGAGTGGAATGAAGTTGGCTGTTAGTGAAAAAACTAAAATCTTCAATTCCATCGGCACTTTTTCCCGATTATCTCGTTAACGAGTGCCTCTACGATAAAATATCCAATAACACTTCTTGTAGGAAATTAAATTCTCCACAAAAAAGGTTATTTGACATTTTCTCCTAGATCTACTCATTACCGAGATAATTACCTGATTATTAAAAAATATCGGTTGAACCTGCATTATCGCTAATTGCTGAATTATCGCGGTAATTAGTGGATTTATGAGAAAACACCTAAGAACCTTTTTTGTAGAGAATTTTATTTTCTACAAAAAAGGTCTTTTGACAATTTGTCGCAGAGTGGCTAGTTGGCGAGATAAACAAGAAATTGTGGGGCACTTCGGGGGTTAGTGCCTCAGGGACTAGCTGTGCTCGGTTCGCTCCGGTTTTGAACTGTTCTGCGCAGCTCCAGAGCCCCCAAGTTTAGACAGGAGGGGTGAGACTTTGGTTAGTTCTTCTATCACGGAAAAACACAGAATAAATCCCCTTGGAACTGTCATGATTTATTCCTGAGTGGTTTCATTGCATTTAATTAATTATCGGTCATTTTTTAGTGAAATATGGCACTGGTGCTGAGCAGGGGGGGCCTCAAGGCGTCCTCAGGATTTTTCGGTGGATTATGTAAGGTTAGTATTCGATTGAAAACATCTATCAATTTATGAAAACGAGTAAATACTGGGTAGTGAATGGAAAATTGATGATGATGAATATTTTGGATGAGTCGTTATAATTCTATGAAAATGTGCGGAAATTGCGGATTTATATAATATCATGATCATGATTATTTATACGTAACTCTGTCAAATACAGCAGAGCAAACCTGGGTTAAATCCTTCAATGAAAAAAACCTCCCCAACAATAAATAATATTCAATTTATTCGCTTTCAGGCTTCGCAGAAGAGTCACGAAGTCACTCAAGTTGCCTTCATCTCGGGCAAGAAATTGCGAGAGAATCGACCCCCTCGTCCCCCTCCATTCGACTACAGAAACAATAGATACAGGGCATGGCACGTGTGGTGGGATCCAATGGAGAAGCGTTTCGACGAAAATACGAAGGTGATCGTAGTCGAAGGCCTCCCAGGAGTGGGCAAGGCCAAGTTCTGCAAAAAGCTAGCTGAGGAACTGGAGATGTACCACTTTCCTGCGATAACATTCGACGATATTCACATCGACGATCACGATTTCGACTACAGAATATTGAATCCAAAACTGCCCCCCGACGCTCAGTTCGTCGATATCAATACTTTCCTGAAGGACCCCACGGGGAGGAACAGCACTGTGATACAGGTTCACCAGTATGTGCTCAGGTACCTCACGTACATCGACGCTCTCGCTCATGTCCTGAACACTGGGGATGGAGTTGTGGTGGAGAGGTCACCCTGGTCCGATCGAGCCTTCGCAAAGGCCATGGAAGTATGCGGCTACATGCCTAAGAGGGGGCTGGACTACTACCAGAGTTGCAACTTCATCAGTCTGCATCGACTCCTCAGACCGCATTTATGTATTTACCTTGATGTTCCAGTCGATGCTGTCAAGGTAATGCTGACATTTCCTATTTTTTGTGACAGAATCACGGATTTTGGACGTATGAAAAAATCGTATGGAAATTTTCTATACGGATATTTTTTATACAAATCATTTCTATACGATTTCTACAAATTTGAACCCACTGCCACATGTGTAGAAATATTTCGTATGGAGTTGCCACATTTCTCTACGTTTTCCTCTTTTGCTGCGAAGAAAAATAAAGAAATAAAAATAAAAAAATACATGAATTTTTTTCTTATGTAAAAATTTTTGTATAGAAATCATTCGGAAGCTTACTACCAATGGAACTGGTAGAAATAAAAAATGAAGAAGACAAATAACGCATTAAGTAACGTTTACATGCCTTCTGACAGAAAGGCTCGGCCTCCTGCTTGTCGTTCTTCCTCATTTGTTATTTTATTTATTAAATAATTAAATATCCAACAGTCTAGGCCAACTCTGGAGTAAAACCTCCGATAGTTAATTTAAAATCTCCAAATAAATACTCTTAATTCAATCATTTTTTATTTCTCGTATTCCAGGCTAAAATTCAAAAAAGATGTCGTCCTTACGAAAAAGATTCTCCAGCCCTGACAACACAGTATCTCAGCGAGATCGAACGCAATTACAAAGAGCTCGTCCTGCCAGACATATCGAGGCACGCTCATCTTCTCGTTTATGATTGGGAGAATGAGGGTATCATAGAGGACGTGGTGGATGATATTGAGGCACTAGAGTGCGACCCAAAAATGCTGAAGGATCATGGGGACAAGCTGCTGGACTGGCGTTTCCCCACCCTTGATGAAATCCGTGGTGCCAGAACTCTGTTCACCAATCAGAGGAATCAACTCGCCATCGGCTGCATCGCTAACAGGTGGGACGTTCCTGAGGTCCTGAGGAGTGGACAATCTAGCGCCAAGCTTGACGAAGTCCTTGAGGAACTCTACGATGAGGTGATTATATTGAGATATTTTTGATGTAGGAATTTAATTATGCAATTTTTAGAAAATTGCGTAATCAGTAGCGAAGTGGCCAAACGATTTCAGTCAATTTAGTCTTCAGTTGAGTTTTCCAGAAATATCTCCGAATTTAAGGGAGATAGCGAAATTTTTGTAATAACCTTTTTTGTAGAGCAAAGGGAGGGTTACTATAAAGGTTATGAGAAAAATTTTGCTATCTCCCTTAGATTTCGGGATATTCATTGAAAACTGGCCAATAGCCAAAATCGACGTGAACCATTTGACCACTTCGCTAAAAATGCCTGAAGTAATTCCAAATAATCGGAAATTTTGTCAGATTATCGGCCTTAATGAGGACTAATTCTGTGCAAAATTTCAGCGCGATTGATCTGGTAGTTTTTTTTAGAAAAAGCGATTTGTTTTTAAATTTCAAATAAAGACTTATTCTATGCGAATGTGTCTTTTCTCTTGATGGAGTGATTTCAGGGGAAAATATAAAAAAATCAATTCTTATTGGAAATTTTGTCAGCTACAAGAAATGTCTCCAGAAGAGCTTCCAAGAAAATTGCATTTTTATTCATGAAGTTTTCATTCTTTTTCAGGATCCGGGCAAGAAGTACGCCCGTGGATTCGATCCAAAGAGGAACAAAGGTGTTCTATGGAAGATCAAGGACTCCGGCGACGATTATATCCGCAAATCTAATAAAGTCAAAGTTGAGTAAAATTATACAAAATTTTCGCAACAAAGGAAAACATTTCTCTGTCGAATAATGAAGTAAATGTTGTAGTGCTCTGCTGGGGGATTACGAAAACCCCCAGCTGTATATCTACTATGCTGTACAGTCGATTTCATTAAACTTAATGTAAAAAAATACTTTTTATTGATGAATTATTGAAGAAATTCCCTTCGTAAATCAAAGTTGAAAATAATTTAGCTTTATTAAGGTTTATACACGTATATTTTTTGTCTTTATAATTACAAACACTTCACAATGACTTTAGGCTCGTTACAATATTTTTTTTCCTTTTTTTTCGTTTTCTCTTCATTGAAAATATAATTAATCAATATCTGAAGCAACGCCGATATTTCTGCAGAGATTAGATTACTAATATCTCGAAAAGTAATGGGTTTAGCGAAAAATATCACCTGACTTTTTTGAGAAGCATGAAATTATCTTGAAAAAAGTCCTTTTGACGTTTTCTGTTAGACACAATAGTTTCGGAGATATTCGCGAGGTAATCTTCAAACTTCGATTTTCACCACCCTCCTAATTATTTACTTTCTTCGTTCGGCCAGTTTAATCAATTGGGATAGTTGAAATTGGAATGCATTCACGATTTCATACAAATGCTTACAATATCCGTATTATGAAGTGATGTAGTCATCATTGGTTATTTACAATACTGTTAAAAATAAGTTTCTCGGGACAATTCTCCTCGGTACAATGAAAAAAGGCTTGTTAATCTTGTTAATCATTTCAGTTACTCAATTACTCAATAGAAAACGAAATCGAGTGGCAGTGATAAACTGACACGAAATATAATTTCCTAAACGATTGCTGCAGTCAAGTGATAAAACCATCCGTGTCAACCATTAAATTCTCGTTAACGAACGACTTCATGTTGATATTTTAGTAGAACTATTTGAGAAAGGAATTTTTTGTTGGAAATGGTCTCTGACTTTTTACTCCTGAAATTGATAATCACCAACATTGTTCAACAGTTGATAAAAATATTTCGAATTGAATAGAATCCGAAATTGTTGAGTGCCAACGATATTGCAGAGACTTTCAGTTGGAAAAACTCCCTACAAACGAAAGTTTATTGCCATTTTCTTTTGAAATCATCAATTTCTGAAATGAATCATCAACTAACGAAAATTGAATTTAATTCATAATTTAATGGATGTAATTAGAAATGAGAAGATAACAATTTTTTAAACATTTAAATCTATTTTTGTAACAAAAATTTTCAATCTCAAGACGAGATGTCTTATTGTTGATAATTTTCAACTTACGATTTTGCTGATATAAAACAAGAAATGTTTGGGAATCCGTTTTTCTCTCAGCGCAGCAGAAAAAATGTCAGAAAATTGTTTTAATAGAGAAGAAAATTTTCCCAAAAATATCACTGGACTTTTCCTCCCAAAACCCGAGGTATTTGATAGATTTGACAAATACAACACGAACTCAAACAGTTTTACCACTCATCCATTAATTTCTTCGGCTGTAATCACGATCAGCCAATCAACATTTACACAAATGGATATAAGTCACGATTACTGAGAGGTTCTTGCTCATATAACGGTCCATTTAACAGTGGATTATTCATTTCCCTTTAACATCACATTGAAAATAGCTATTCCTTGCTTTGCTTAATTAACTAATTAATACAATCAATCAATTCATCAATTAATGCAAGACAAGAATCTGAAATACATAAATTTTTTTCTCATTTTTGTTGATAAATTCATCCAGTTATTCTCATTAATTCGAACATTAACAGGTGGGGGGAAACGAGTGAGTGCCCTCGACTCATTCTCTTGCATTGATTAATTAATTAATAGGATATTTTGAACATTAAGCTGTTAAACTGCAACAGGAGTTGGTTTTTCTTGCTGTTTTGTAGAAGGCTTTTGATTGGATGCTGAGACCCTCGGATTTTTGGACCAAGTCGTCTAGTTTTTCGCCTCGTTGAAGTACAGCTTCCAATGTGCTATGCTAGTTCATGAAAAATAAATCTATTCAAGCATGAAATTTTTCAATCAAATCACGTGAATTTTTTTTAAAAAAACTCATGGCTGATTATTCATCATTCAAATTTGTCAATGAAATCACGTGAAAAAAATATTAAAAAATTCATGGCTAATAATTGTTCATCATTCATGGAATTAAAGTCTAATAAAATCCTTACCAGTATAATTTTCGTCTCATCCAAGTCGTTCTGCATCTTGGTGAGTGCATCCGCCTCCCTGGGATTCTGATACTTGGCCAAGTACGTATTGATTGAGGGAAAATCACAGGTGGCTTCGTTCAGAGTTCCCCAGGCGCTTGGGGGGTACCTTCCAGCAAAGTCATCCAACACTTTGGTTATCAGCGTGTGAGACACACGATTAGGGTATTCGTGGTCGGATATCAAAACACCCGCGAGACTGTCGCCACGAACGTAAACATGACACATGTATTCTGAAAACAAAATGCGATGAACATTTCAGGTATTAATAACATTCCTTTTTTTACACACGTTCGATAACATTTTCTTCCTATCCTCCGAGGAATTCAGGTTATTTTCATACATACTTTTCGGACTTGAGCTGAATTATGTAGGAAGGCATTGTTAAAAAATTTAACAATTAATTCATGTGAAAATTCCGTGGATTTTGGTATTGGAAAATTAGTTAGTTTGGGGACGAGTCTGTTAATGTTTTAATTGAATGAAAAAAAATTATATTCCTTTGGAAGCACTGATCGAAATTCTTCCTTGTGGAAAATAAGAAATTTAGGGAAAATTTGGTTATAAAATTTCAAGTTTTAAGCAGAATTCACGGAAAGTGATAAGTTTTCAGTGGAACGTGAATATTCAGAAACAAAAGGACATGAATTTTCAATTTTTCCCTGAACTTTCCTGATTTTCCTGGATTTTCACAGAATAATTGAACTGAGAAATCAATTATTTTATTGATTTCGAGATCATTTGAACGGAAAATCAATGGAATATTTCAGCGGAAGCTCCAGGGGAACTTGAACACGACAAAATTTTTTAACACTGAGTAAATGAATACTTTGCAGAAATAATTGTTTTCCTCAATGTAGGATATCCCTCGAAAATTTCAAAACAGATTCCAACGCTCTGCAGAAAATTCTGTCTAATAATCATCTGCAAGTATTCGTGTAACTCAAGAATGTTAACAATTCCATATGTGAAATTAGTGCGTGCAAATCTGAAAATACACATCTATTGATTTTCAATACTCAAAACCCCCGGATAAAGTGCAAACAACACATGCGACGCTAAAATTACGCGAAAAAATTGTTGTTTCACGTTGTTCATCAATTGTGTCATGAAAAAAGGAGAAATTATCGATTGCCCCTCGTGTTACCTCCTTCCTTGACACTTTGTCTAGCAGCAATCTGTGTACGTTCAACAATAGTCTTACTGACAAACGCCATAAACTCCCTGACACTTCCCCTTTGAAAATAAGAGAATGACTCTACGTCATAAGCACATTTCAATGCACTTGCGGATATGGGTCCTTTATAAAGCACTGTCAATGCATAAAGCTTAACCATTTTTGGGAATATCGGGTAATCCTTGGCACTGATCACTTGTGAAAAGGTTAATCAACACTTATAACACAAATATATTTGGTATTTGAAAAAAATCTATCGGTGAGGATTCTTCCCGTCTCTGTTGCAATTTTTATTGTCTCACTCGGTCGCTCTCTTCTCTTCTCTTCTCTTCTCAATGTTGGAAAACGACGAGCACAGAGAGGTTAAAAAACTGAATACCAACACTTGGCAACATTCATGTTGGACGAAGTGGTACAGGAGTTTACAAAAGTTTGGCAAACGCTCCGTACGTCACTTCACGTGGTGCGATAAAAAAAATATTGGCAGCAATTATTCATAATGAATGCCAAATTTTTGTAAAGAAAGATTAACAGGCGAGATTTCTATGAAAAAATGTTTATAACAAATTTTTATGAACGAAAAAAAAATAAAATTGATAAAAAGATTACACTAAAACACATTTATTTATTTTATTTATTTATTTACTACGTGGTAACAATTTTCAGGGGTTTTATACAGAAGGTGGAAAAATATTGTACAAATATATCAAAGTAAAAGACAAAAAATTCCAAAATTCAGTTACATAACCAGATAAATTTTCATAAAATTGATCCAAGGATTTTTTTCTGTTTGAATATATCACAGCATTTAGTCATTTAACAATTGAGATTAAGTTGCGAAGTTGTAGAGTCTATCACGAACTTCAATATACTTGTTTGTGACTAGTTCAGGTAAAAAGTAACTTCTCAAGGTCTGTCCGATAAATCAAACACATCAAATAAAGAAACTCTCAGCCAACAGTGAAAATACAGCATTTCCTGTTCTCACACTGCAGATGAATTCCCGATAGATCGATTTATTGAGAATTGAAAACAATTGAATTTCGGGGGCAGTCGTTCGAATCGGAAATTTGGAGACAACTTCCGTGCGCTCCGGAACTTTTGGTCGTTACTGTACGTCCATATGGAGTTTCTGGAGGTTGGCAACAGCCAGTTCAAGCCAGTTGATATCCTCGTATCCTGCGAGACTCACCAAGCTTTGATATTTACTGCGTTTACTCCTAAAAAACGATAAATTATGTGCGTTACGTACTCCTGGAGTTGACTGCACTTCTGAATAAATTTTCAAAGCTCTAGTCAATATCATGTGCGTTTGATTTGAAATTTACGGTCGATCGAGGATTAATTATTGCTTCTGGGGATCGTTGGAGTAATCCGAGTTTGGGGATTCCGCTTATCGAGCACCAGGTGAGAAAACAATTTATCGAACCCGTAATTTATTGATTTAATTCTTCAATTCTTGAAAGTATTCCGATTTTTTTTTCTGAAAAATTGCTGGGAAAACTGAGAATTTACGGTCAACATGGGTTTTGAGACTGGAAAATGAGAGGAGGGAGGGCGAATGGGAGTCACTTGTAGGTTAGAGCTTCGCTGACTGGATCCAATCATGCGTTGATGAGACGAGCCCGGAAAATGATTCGTTATTTAGGGAATATCTTAGATATGAAGGGGTTCACAGGGCTTCATCAGAGGGCCTTTTTAGGCAATTTCAAGGGTTCGAAAAATATCTCCTGACATCTTCAACGAGAAATGGTCATTACCGATATCATTGCCAATTAATAAAACTGATGGATTTCATACACGTTCTGATATAATCATTTTCTTCTCATATAAATCCTGTTGATAATTTATTAGACCCGAAAGGGGTGGAATAAATCGCTTCTAATCATCTCTAGGTTGAGATTTTTTTGTCATTTTGAAGGTATTCTATCAGGCTTTAAGAATATAAGTACTTCGGCTGCTTTTTGCTTTCAAATGGAAACCTTGTAATCGTTCAAATTTAAGATTTGGAATTTTTGTGTTATATCGACCCAGTGTGATCCAAAAAATCAGAAAGTGCAATTTTCAGATCTCGTTCGTACGTGTGTATGTGTGTACGTATGTAGCAAAGTTTTTCTTCAATTCGATAATATTGCTGAGCGCTATCGATCGACATTAATTGAAATTCAATTCATCATTTCGCTTTTTTTATTTTCGAATTTTTTCGAAAATCGGTTGTCCCACGATAACTAAAAAAAATTTTCTTAATTGATTGACCGATGGCTTAAAAATTTGTTTGGATGTCCTTTTTACCGAGTTCGAAGATGAAGGCGATAGCAATAATCGTTATTTTGGTTTATTTGAAAATTTGCAAAATTTTTTTTTTTTTTGAAAATCAGCATTTCGGGGATATCTTTGAATATCATGCTTCAAATGAATTCCATCATAGCTTAAAATGTTTGTTTTAATGCCATTAAGTCGAAGCTAAAAGCTGATTACAATAGCTATATTGCTTGATTTTATTTTTATGATGATTGTTGAAAATTTCGAATTTTTCGTGAATTTCCCTGAAAGTAAGCTCTCTGATAATTTATTCAAATGTGGTATTTCAAATGCATTCGAGTATGTATAAATAAAAATTTTCTGTCAACATTTTATCGAAGAGCTGAGGGGAGAGATAGCTAAACATTCAATTCCCACAATTTCGCTTTAAAATTACACTCAATTACCTTCATTTTCATTCAAAAACAGATAAATCTATGACAATGAGCGATTCAAGTGATCTGGATCGCCAGATTGAGCAGTTGAAGAAGTGTGAGATTATAAAAGAGGCGGAGGTCAAGGCACTCTGTGCGAAAGCACGAGAGATCCTCATTGAGGAGAGTAATGTGCAGAGAATTGACTCACCTGTTACGGTAAGTGTCTTCAATTAATGGAACTAATTCCGATAGTGAGAAATATTTGACGAGTGATTAATTGGTGTTTTTATCCGTTCGAAGGTCTGTGGGGACATTCATGGACAGTTCTACGATCTCAAAGAGCTGTTCAAGGTGGGTGGAGATGTCCCAGAGACGAATTACCTGTTCATGGGAGATTTCGTCGACAGGGGGTTCTACAGTGTCGAGACATTCTTACTTCTCCTTGCACTGAAGGTGAGTTCATCTTCTGGGTCCATGTTTAAATAAATCCAATTAAAAAAACTTCGTCAATACAACTTGGTAATTTAAACAACTTGAAGATAAAAAAATTAATTTGAATTTCGAAAAATTTGAAAAAATCCACGAGAATAATGCAAAAAACAAGAATAGAGTATTAATAACGCCTCAATGAATACCCACGAAGGAAAATAAAATGAAATGGGGACTATCATAAACATTATCTGTCAAAAACATGAGGATAATTTTACGAAAAACGGGTTTTCTAGAGGTTATCGAGACAATTTGAAGATTACACAGACGTAATATGTCAACAGTTTATCTTCATAAATATTTTTCCTCAGGTGCGTTATCCAGATCGAATCACATTAATTCGTGGCAATCACGAGTCCCGACAAATCACACAGGTCTACGGATTCTACGACGAGTGCCTGCGAAAGTACGGGAGTGTAACAGTCTGGCGATACTGCACTGAAATCTTCGATTATCTGTCGTTATCAGCGATCATCGATGGAAAAATATTCTGTGTCCACGGGGGACTGTCCCCAAGCATCCAGACACTTGATCAGATTCGAACCATTGACAGAAAGCAAGAGGTAAAATTTTTTCGATTCTTTTAAATTTATGCCTCCAGCTCTCTAAAGGGACAGATAGTAATAGATCAATTTAAGAATTGAATGGATTAAGGACATTCAAGTATCTTTTACAGTTTGAATTCAGCCATTTCATCCAATTTATCAATTAAATTGCGTTAGAAAATTAAAAAAAAAATCATGAATATTCTGCGTCATTCAAATTATATCAAAAATTAATTCAAATATCTCAAAAATTATTCATCCGACTTCAAGTTTTCTTTTTAAATATTCATTTTGATGTCTCGTATCTAGTTCTTTATGTAAAATATATATACCCGTTCCGTTCAAATATCAAAAAATGGATTTTCAATGCAATTCCTCTTCAATTAAGGTGCCTCACGATGGACCAATGTGTGACCTCCTGTGGTCAGACCCGGAGGAAACTCAAGGATGGGGCGTATCTCCCAGAGGTGCAGGTTACCTATTCGGCAGTGACGTCGTAGCTCAATTTAATTCAGCAAACGACATCGACATGATCTGCAGAGCCCACCAACTAGTGATGGAAGGCTACAAATGGCACTTTAACGAGACTGTACTTACCGTCTGGTCAGCCCCCAATTACTGCTACAGATGTGGTAACGTAGCAGCTATTCTAGAATTAAATGAACACCTTCAACGAGACTTCACAATATTTGAAGCAGCACCACAGGAGAGTCGAGGAATACCTAGTAAAAAGCCTCAAGCTGATTACTTTTTGTAATTAAATCATGAATAATGTAATTGTAATCGACCAATGAACATTAAGAGGATATAATATCCAACCTATCTCTGCCCCTCCCCATCTTTACATTAAAGGTTTTTCAATATTTTTTCACTATAAATCTCATTTTTTCTTATCTGGATCAATGATTTCTGCGAAGACGATTGACGAGCGTCGATTTACTCATTAATATACTCCATTCACTGTCGAAAATGTATTTATGAACAATTAATTCTCTGTAATAAAAAAATCGCCATTTGTAGAATTTTGTTTCTATCATTTTTCAGATCCATCGAATTTTTTCCTCTTTTTCTAGGGTTTTTTCGTCTTTTTATCATAAGAACGCAGAAACTATCGGATGAAAAAATGAAACTCTGTATTGGAGTAGAGCAATATTCAACCAAACGAGGGAAATTGGCTCCATAGTGGTGCAATTTTTTTCGCGAAGATACAAGCCTCCAAAGTTTGTGGACTACACTTTTGAAAAGAATGGTAGGATCGTTTACCAACCCACATTGAACGATAAACGAGCAAGTTCTCAAACCAGTCCTGTCCGGGCCAACAAAATCGTTAAAAAAAATGAAACGGTGAAACGCCCCGCCCCCATCTGAGTTCCCAATAATATCCAACGTATCTCTATCCCTCTCCATCTTTATATTAAAGGGTAACAGAATGCAGCTAATTTTCCAAATTTTTGAACAAATTTCCTGCTGTGCGTTAACGATATTTTTACAAATCAAAGCACATTAATCTCTGGAAGCAATGTGCTTTGGGTAAAGATCAATGCGCTTTGCGTTAAAAAAATATTAATAACTTTGAGCAGGAAATTTGTTTGAAAACTTCGACTAAACGGTGACCTGTTACCCCTTTAAGGGTTTTTAATATTTTCTCACTATGAATCGCTTCTTATCTGAATCAATGATTGTTATGAAAACGATTGACGAGCGTAGGTTTTCTCTTTAATATAGTTCATTTACTGTCAACAACGCATTTATAAACAATTAATTCTCTGTAATAAAAAAAATCCATCATTTGTGGAACTTCATTTCTACCGTTCTTTAGATACATAGTTTTTTCCTCTTGAAGATTAATTGGAGGGAATTACGCAGTGCAGGTTTATTGAGCACTTGTCTACTGTCTAGACTCGCTACAGAGCATCTAGGTACTAGAATAAACTTTAAGTATTATTTCTAAATAGAACGACGCGTCTATCTTGCGAGTTTCTAAAATGATTAATTTTTTGGATGAAATGAGGAAATAGTCACATTGCTGGGAGAACATTCATCTGTTGATAGATCTGATGACAATTTTCGGAGTGGGATTATACTTATTTCCCCATTTCACGAGGTTTTTTTAAAAAGTCGCAACGAGGTAGACGAAATATTGAAAATTCGATGGTTGAAGTGGTGGAGAACAGGAGAGAACTCCAGAAATTTCATTGTTTATTTCCCAGTTTGGGGAATATCACAAAGTTCTAATGTTCCGTAAATGGACGAGCGATGTTCCATATTTGGGAAAAGTCTTTCGTAAAAGGTCTTTTGGTCTTGAACATAATTTTTCATTTTTCCCGATTTTTTCTCATTACATAATGTGCTTCTTTTTTTTTAAACCTACTGAGTTTGGAATCGCCCAGTAGTAATATTGCTTTTTCAATATTTTTTCAAACAATAGTTCATTTTCAAACCATTGACTGAACCTCCGAAGAGCCTTTAGTGTTCCATAATTAGACTGTTCACCCAATCTTGAGTTTTCAATGAAATGAAACAACGTGCTGCGCATTTATATTGGAATGAGAAACAATAGAAAATGCGCTGGGGTGTCGAGTAACCCCAGTGCACTCGTAGAGGGATAAACGACCAATTCGTCCTCAACCCGTCATTCACTCTCCACCACTCCCCGTCTTAATTAATTCTCAATAAAACACGCACGAAAAAAAAATTATAGAAAAACCTAGTGAATTTAATCGAAAATTCTATTGGTTTTTTACTGAAATTCTGTTCAACTTTCTATCAGTTTTTGGTCGATTCTATCGGGGAATTTCGTCTTTCCATATAACTTTTTTATAGAAAATTTCCGAAATGAATTTTCCAAGTTTTTTCCACCCGATTCTTCTTCTCTCTGCATCAAGAAAAATTGAGCAAAAAAATCAGGAATTCCATTGATTTTTTTCTACATCATATTTAGAATCGCCCAATATGCTCTAGGTTTTTCTAAAAAAAAATTTCGCCCATGGATACTTAAAAAATATTGGAATACGTGGCTAAGGTGGCACATGTCAGATTTCGTTTTCCCAGAGCCCTAGGGCTTGTTGGGTGCACTCCTGGGTTTCTTCGGTGCATTATACCGAATCAATAAAAACGCAATTATTATCAATAACGACATGATTCCGATTCCAATGCCCAAACGAATCTCAGTAAAATCGACGATCGAGTCGAGAGCAATTTCTCGAAGCACTGACTCCCCATCGAGGGGTTCGCAGGGTGCCTGGACGATGATGTCCTCACGTTGCACCTGTTTCGCTTTGCAATTCACAAGTTTGTTGAGTGCAGCTGATCCATGAATTTGTCGTAGAAGGAAGGCTAGCGTCCACTCCATTGGGCTGAGGTTTTGGTACCAGAGGGGGAGGTTCTCCAGGTGGAGGGTCACCCCTCCCCCCAGGGTTATCTCGCCTATTACCAAGCCGGAGAGGAATGCTGCCAGGCTACTCCATTTGCAGACGTGCGCGAAGAATGTGCAGACGAAGTGCTGCAGCATCAGGTAGAGGAGACCGTAGGAGAGGTACGACCAGAGGGATGTCAGGTTCTCATCCACTGCGAGGTGCAGCCCTGACATGGCGAACGCTGGGCCAAGGTAGATCGCGTAGATCAGACACCAAGAGGGAAAACTGCAGAGTAACTGCAAAGGGAAAATAAGCTGGTGTCTCAATTTTTCCGCAAGTTAAAGCCACAGATGAAAAAATTTAATAGAAAAACATAACGAATTCGTTCGAAAATTCTATTGGATTTTTGCCGATTCTAGAAAATATTCAATGGAAAAAGTCAAGAGAATTCGATTTTTCTGTATAAGTTATTCTATTGAAATATTTTCTACAGAATTTCCTCAGCTCAAATTTTCCAAGTTTTTTTGTTCGATTTTTTTGATGAAAAGAAAAGGAAACGAGAATGAAAAAAAATTTGGAAAGTTTGAGCCGAGGAAATTCTGTAGAACATATCTGAAGAGAATAAGTTATATAGAAAAATCGAATTCTATTGACTTTTCCTATTAAGTATTGCTATAAATATAATATTAATAAATATTTGAATTGTTCTGTCAACCAATAATTTAGCTAGGAAGATTGACAATTGTTTCGATAATCGAAAATCAAGTACCTGAATTTAAAATTAGCGTGTTAACTAAAATTTACATTTCAATATTATCAAATATTTTATTCACCATCAGTCGGAAAATTTAGTTATTAAATTTTCTAATATTTTAAATTTATCAAATACACTTAAACGTTGAGCAATAAACGAGATAATTCTTACCTCTATGATAATGTAAATGAACCGCCCATAGAGTCCGTCTTTCATGTCCCTCTCGACATTGCGTCTGGCCCTCGTGATATCGAATATCTGCAAAAGCCCCAGCGGCCAGGATAAAATCCCCAAACTGGCGTAATAAAAGCCGACTCGATCCCTCAGATGTAAATTGGTGTCTCCAGCGACGTCCCAAAACACTGCCCCAAGGATAATGCTGAGAGAGGCAGCAATGAGGATCTTCTGGAGGAGCCTCGTCATGGCCCAGGGCTGGCTGTAGACTAGTGTCTTCATGAGGAGGGCGTAAATTTGTACAAAAATATTGGCGTCGTATACAGCTGGAGGTAGATTGCCTGGAGGGCCTGGATCTGATAAAGGTGGGAGACGAGCCTTCGCAAGTTCTGCTAAATGATCGATTCGCTGGGAGGATTCCAACATTGCTTCTGCTGAGAGGTCGTCCAGAGTCACTAAATCAACTGAAGAATAAGAGTAAATGCAGCGACACGTATGAAAAAATTCGACAGAAGACCTAGCGAATTCGCTAGAAAATTCCATTGGGATTCTATAGAAATTTTATGGGGTTTCTATAGGATTTCTAGTGAAATATTCTATTTGTTTTGCGCTGATTCCATTGGATATGCGATAAGAAAAAGTCAATAGATTTCAAAATTCTGTTTGAATTGTTTTGTTTTCCTCTTGAGATGTTTCCAAGTTTTTTCCACTCGGATTCTGCAATGCACAACAAAACGAAATCCTGCGGAAAAAACAGAAAATTCGTGCCCGATAATTCTAATAGAAATAATCTAAGAGAAAAATTCAAATAGTAATTCGAAATCTATTAACAGTTTCTTATTGAATATCCAATGGAATCGGCGCAAAAAGCAAATAAAATTTTTCAATAGAATTCCAATAGTTTTCAACCTTGTGGAAGCTAAAAAATTACTTTTGCCAAGTAAATTTACTTGTCACAAATAAATAAATATATATTTCCATTTGAAATGTGTGGATTTTCTTGTAGTTAGTAAATCCACTTGGCAGAAGTAATTTGTTTTCTCAGTGTGAATACCTGATTTTTTTCACCTGAGAACGTAAAAAATAATTTCATTCCCATTGCCTTTAGTCAATGACACATTCGACAATCTCATATTTAGAGTCAATTCTGAAAAAGAGTTCATTCAATCCACCCATTAAAAACCCGGACAAGAGTGAATTAAAAAAAATTGCACTCACGATAATAATCCGAGGGATTCTTGAACGGCGGACAAGGAAACTCGGCTAGAGCGAAATAAGGCAGCATGTCCCTCCTCGCCCCAGTAAACATGATTCTCCCACCGGAAGTCAGCGCGACCCTCGATACCATCGTGAGGATCTCGTACGTCGGGGGATGAAGAGTCAAAATGACTAATCTCTCTCCCCTCGCAGCCCACTGCCTCAAATACTCGACGAGGAAGAACGCATCGAAGATATCGAGCCCGTGTGTCGGCCTATCTAGGGCCAGGACATGAGCATCTTGAAGTAGTCGACAGGCCAGAGCCAATCTTCTTGCTTCCGAAGTCGTGAGGGAGCTGACGAGGCAGTGCTTGGTAGCCTCGAGGCCCAGTTCTTGGAGGATCGCTTCGGTTTCCATTTCTGAAGTCTGGGAACCCCCTCGCAGGCACATGTAGAAGCTCAATACTTGTTGAGCTGTTAGACCTGGGCTTAAACTGCTCTCTGCAGGGAGATAGGCAACTCTCGACCTCAAAGTCCGAGTGGACACACTCCTCCCATTCATAAGGATATCTCCCCTCTTGATTCTCCTCCTCCCCGCGACGGTCTCCAAAATGGTGGTCCCCTCCCTCTCGGTGGTGGCCATGACGGCCAGGACATCGGTGGCGCCAGCCTCCAGAGTGATGCCCCTCAACGGTGTCCTCTGGGAGTCCCCAGAGCTATCGACCCCTCTCAATTGCACGTGAGGATGCTGAACAGCAAGCCTCCTCAGACCCTGACCATAGTCTCCCTCAGGTCCCACCATCCCCTGGGGCTGTTCCAGGACTGCTTGCCCATACCCAGGGTCCATCGGTGCGATGCTGTGCCTTCTATTTGGTCTCGACGCATGAAGGAGATTCGCCTCACTCGCACTCCTCATTTTATTATCTCTCACGAGTAATTGTGAGGGGGTTTGCTGGGCCTCTCGAGGGGTCCCGTGAACCTGCCTGAAGTCTGGGTCACTCCTGGCTGATCGCATCGCTGAGGACTGCTGGTGGAGGCCGCTGTGGGAGACCCTTCGACCTTCCTCACTGGAGTCGTAGCCACTGGAGCCATCGCGGGCTCTCGAGGGCGGCAGGACCCGGGGGAGACCGAACTTCAGGTAGGTGTACGAGTTGCTGGCTAGGGGGCTCTTTGGTCCGTACCGGGGGTGCCTCAGGATACTCTGGACAGTGGAATCCCGCAGCTGGAAGTTCCCGTAGGGCAGGGGGGACTTCTCCGCGGAGCCCAGGGCAGAGTCGGTGAAGTCTGAGTTCAGATTTTGCCTGGGAATAAAAGGCGTCAGGAAGGAGTGAGCAATCTCTTGACAGAGAAGCTTGACAGAGTTCCCTATGTATACTGAGATAAAAATCGACATATGACAAAAATAATTTCTTGAGGGGAGAACATTGACTGCATATTCGATCAATTCATGCCAGGTTTCAGACAAGAAATCGGCGCTCTTTGGGGACAAAGAGGACGATACTGTTATTATTATTAATAATATATTATTATATGTTATTATTTTATATTAGTACATATGTTATTATATAAATACTTTATAATATTATATTATATTATATTATATTATATTATATTATTATTGTAGTAATATATACATATATATGCATATATATGCGTGACGATTATCGCGAAATTTTTTTAATGAGATGAGATGTTTTTATATACATTTATTTCGATAGATATTTTTTATATCAATATTACATTTCGATACACGTTTTCTTCCTTCTGTGACCCCCTATTCTAGCTCGGGCGCGTTTCTCGTTCAACAAAAAATCAAATGAGAGCTGTAAGTCGACTTAAACCGATTGACCACTTCACTACTGATTTAACAGTCAATGGTTGACAGCATTTACGGTCAGTCGAGGCAATTTCATGAGAAAATTCATGCAGTCTATATTTTTCCAATTCCTACCTGTAAATCGACCATGCATGAAGGTCTTCACTAGCCGGTGGCTCCAACCCTCGTGTATCCAGAGCCCCGGGCACGGAATACCTTCGCTCCAACTCCCAAGCCTCGGAACCCATCTCACGGACCTACGGGAAATCGTAAAAACTCGTTGTACTACTGGAATTGCAAAACATGATGAACACCTTAATAACAGACGAGCGTATCTACACGGAGAGAAATATCGGCATAATATCCCAAAATTAATTTCTTGCGTCAAACATCGCATCTCTTGGGGATAAAACCCTTGGGGTAGAATTCCGCATAATGCGTCAGACTGTGGAAGAATCCTGTGACATTTTCATGACTTGAACACGAACACTTGGCGATAAAGTGACAATTTCTTGCTTCAAGAAATCGTTTATTTCGCGTCAAAGGATGAGAAAATTACTAAAAATACTAAAGGCTTCGAGTCAGTGAATCATGGATCAGAGACTTTCATATTTCTAAAATATAACCGTCACTTGCTCTCAATCGCAATGAGTTTGAAGGAAAGCAATAACATCTTTTCCTTCTCTCAAACCGATTTTGTCTCTTCAGGAATATTATCTAATTTCCAGAAAAAAATATCATTTCTCATTCAGTATCATCCTCCTTTTGCCCAAAGAGCACCGATTTCTTGTCTGAAATCTACAATGAATTGATCGGATATGCATGCGATGTTCTCCACTCAAAAAATTATTTTTGTCATATTACGTCGATTTTTCTCTCAGTGTAACATTCTACATCATTTTGTAATGGTTCAATTGTCCTTTGAATTTCCCGCGTCAATTGATCAGGCCGAGTTATATTTATTTATCAATTCACATAATAGCTTCCCCCGTTAAGATTCAAGGAATATTAATTTTTATATATAAATTGCGCAATATTAGAAATACAAAATAAGAATTTATGTGGGACAAAAGTATCAAAAAACGAACGAGAACATTGTGACCTCCTCATTCGGAATATTCAAATAAATAATTAAGCTAAATTACATAATGTTCAATTCATCGTATTCCACGAAATAAAATATTAATTACCTAAGTAAACACGTAAATTACTACAATTTCCAAAGCTCCCATTCGAAAGTAATCGGAATAAATAAAAAAATTTCATCGAACGAAGCAGCTCAATTCGTTATGCGTTTACGAGGAAAATCCTAAAAACGGGCACATTGTTTTGGACCTTTGCCCCCGAATGAAATCGACCCTAGACCGTGAATCTTCATCCCGCAGTCCCAGGAAGCTCATAGAATCCCACCCAGCGGAAACCGCCTCAAAACTACCGGTGAAATTACCCAGGGAACAGACCAAGTAACAAAGGCCAATTCGATCGTCCGTAAACTCTGGAATGCGCTGAAAAAAAAACGAGCAAATGAAATTGAAAAACAGAGACAGAGAGTTGGAGAGCGAGGGAGATGAGGAAAAAAGGAAGATGCTAGGTACCGCTACAGGCGGTTGTTCGAGACTTGGTGCAGTCTCACCGGCAGGTAATCACGGTCTACTCGATATTTCCATGGTATCAGGAATGCAGGGAAACTCGTCGATACGCACGCGATGCTTTCTGGGTTTAATAACGCCAGATTGGAGGCTGAGATGAGATGTTGGGACGAACTTAACGGCTTCTAGGAGGATGACTGGATTGAAAATATCCAGCAGCACATGTTGATGGATTATTTCAGCTGATTCATTGATGAGATCTGCTTTTCGGTGATTATCTGGGTAATGAGGGATTTTGATGAGGAGTGGTGAGAGGAACTTACAAAATAATGCAAGTTAATTCGGCTGGGTCTAGCTAATTTGGCTAAAGACTACTGAATGAGCTCTCTCAGACTGTTTCCTCTTCCCCCTCTCTTCAAGAGTCCCCACCGCCGAGTACTCCCACTTGGGATTCTGTGAACCCAAATCTCGAGTGCCGTTTTTTTTTTATAAATTTTTTGTTTTCTTTTCGTTTCAATGTGATCTACAGACGTTGCACCTTAATTTGCCTCGGCGAAAAATAAACATTCAGTCTTTCCAAAAAATTTTATTACAACTAGAAAATTCTGCGTGAATTGTCAAAGAGCGAGCGAGAGAGTACCGACTACAGTTCTATCTTTTGTATTCAAAGTAAATTGTTCGAAGAGGTTTATTAGTCCTCGGCCACCTGCCTCAACCGGTACAATACCCGGCTGTTCAACATGCGGGTAAAAATCATCCACAGAGTAACACTTGTCCTCATAAACATAAATCAATCGCCCCAGTGTGTCTTGGGATATTCGAGGACTACGTATGACAGCATTCCGGAAACGTGGGGGAATAAAAACCCGTTACGTGTCTCAACTCTCTGTATCATACGGAGTCATATGCATGTGATTCCTCTGGGATCCCAGGAGTCACCTGATACCGGAATTTAATCATATGTTTGAGATTAAATGGAATCTGCAGAGGCACGTGTAGCACAGTTATAATTATCGTCTCGGTACAGTCACATTCTCATTTTTCTTTGGGGAGATAATGTTTATTATATAACAGGTGAAACCAGAGTGGAAAAAAATGTGAGAATTTTTTTTTCATGGATATGTTTGGAAATATTAGGGCCAGAGGGACACATCAAGTCATTCATTTCATGAAGGATTTCAGGGGAAAAAGGGAAACGTCTATTGTTTTTTTTCCCAGCGTGAGGATGATTGCGTCATTAACGGAGAAGATCAAGGTGTTAAAACAGGAAAATGGAGATGAGCATTGAGGATGTTTTTTCATTCTTTGAGAATTGAATTTTTTAATGTTCCATAAAATAAATCCGCTAATACGGGAGATTGCGACATCAACTTTTGAACCGAGAACATTTTTTTGTTGTACATCAGCTCTCAAGGGATTTATTTTCAGACTGATAATTCATCCGCTACAATCCTACAAAATACAAATACAAATTGCTCTAATCGGCGCCGTAATTCCTGCCTTTTTATCGACAATTTTTGGTGAAAATTTCAGACTAAAAAAAATTCGATTTTTGAGTAATTGACGATTGAAAAAATACGAAGATCGGCAAATTTCCCTACATTTTGATTTAAATTTCAAAATAATTTTCAGTTCTCAATTATAATTAAACAACCAATTCTAAATATCTGAATTTGATTTTTCAATTAATCAAATAATTAATCAAATAATCATCATTCTTACGAAGTTGATTACTCCTTTATAAAATATTTAAAAACTTAAAAAAAATGATTTATGATTAATTTAATACAATAAAAATCGCACAATTGTACAATACAGTTGCCTGATTTTGTCTGTAACAAAATAATTTTAATTCTGTCTTACGATGTTGCCTCTCTCTGTTTGTGATATGAGGTTGTTTTGCCCCTCAGCGTAAATACACAATCAACTTTACACCAAAGAATGAAAAATTTACTTCTCCACAAATTTGCATTCTCGATTTTGCGCAATTTCATTAAATATCGACCCGATTTAAGCTTCCGGAGTTGGCCAATCCTAGAAAGGTGTTTCAATACCCGATAAATAACGAATGTAGCCAGTAGTTTTTAAAATACACAATTCAACGTTTTTCCCCCCTTTCAGGTTTTCCAACATTCCACTGCCCCCCAATTCTCACAAATGCCGTTAAAACCATTCTACACAGGCTTTTCTGCACCTTCTCGAACCTTACATTTCTTCATAATAGATAAATAGAAATAACCATAGAATAGGAAATAGTGAATCAGCAGTGATTATTCAGACGTTTTCACTTTCAAGCCGAGTCAATTCATTCTGTTCATTTGCATTGGAAACAATCCAACGAGAATTGAACGCGTGAATGAGCCCATCGGTATTCTCTGAAAAAATATGTGTGTGTGTATTTTTTATTGTTATTACCTTAATGAAATGGGGAAATTTCACTCCGATACGTCGCTATTATGACAATGAGATAATCCCACGCACCGGTTTCCACTGAGCATCAATTTAATTCATCTAAACGCGTGCTCATTCCTGCAATTCCGACCTAATTTTTCTGTTTTTTTCATTTAATTCTTCTCTTGTTGAGGTTGACATTTCCGTGAAACCGTGGAACCCTCGAAAAATACAGGGTCTTGTACATGTCAATTAATTGTTTTTTCAGTAATGAAGGAAGAGTTATGGTTTTTCTTTGCGCGGTGATTCATCAGTGGGACGGCATTATCTACACGCATCCATTTTTCTATCTTCATTTTTCAATGCTATTTGTAATGATAATAGCCGGTCGTAGGAGTTGAGTTGGTAATTCCCGGCGTCTTGAATATAATGTTCAAGTTCTAATTATTGGGAGTGTAAGCGGGGAAAAAATAAATCGCACTTTTTCAATGAAAAGTAAGGGACGGTTCCAATGAATGAACGGAACCGAATGCCAGCGACTAAAAACTCTTCACAATGAGACGTTATACATAATATTATCTTCAGTTTAACAGGGATATTTTATTTGAGAAAAGGTTTTTTTAAATCGTTATAACGATTAGTAATTATAATCACTAAAATTTTCACCAAAAATGATCAATTGGTCAATGGTCAAATGGTTATTAATTTTTTTCATTGAAACAAGTATTGAAAATGACCAAAAAACGCTATCATTCGTACAAATGAGGCATTATATCTTCTATTATTCATCTTCAGTATGATTTTTTCAGTGAAAAGTTATTATTTCTCTAATTATACAATGAAAATACAGTTTTCATTTGTTTGTAATCGAGAATTTAATTAAATTGACACATTTTCATTTATTCATTTTAATAATAGCGATTTTCGGTCATTTTCAAGACTTGTCCCACTGAAAAAAATTATAACCGTCGAACTACGGCGAGTGGCAAACTCTAATTGGCGCCAAAATGCCTTTCATTTTATTGACAATTTTTGGTGAAAATTTCAGATTTTTTAAAAATTAGTTTTTTTAGTTATTTACGATTGCAAAAAAACGTTTTCTTGAAGGGTTTTTCATGTTCTGTGAGTGTGTCCGTACTTGAGGGGTTAATTTATTCATTGACTGAGTCAATAGTCAATAGCTGCGAGATTAAAATTCACTAGTAAGCGACTACATAAATTTTTCGAATGTCCTCGATTTCGAGAAAAATGTCGCGTTCATTCACTATTTTATTTTGCATCCATTTCCTCGTTCATAACTGGAGAGGGAAAAAAATTGAAAATATCTTTCATGATCATTAAATAAAAATGATGATCACCTCGACTCGTAATGCTCATGCACAAATAAACTGCTCGTCCCATCTGAATTTCAAATCAACGCATTATGAAATTCAATCGTAGGAGTCAGGTTGCTCATCTCCCTTGTCCACACATTCAACTCTCCCTGCGTCCTCTCGCTTGCAAGTAACCGCAATGAATGCCACCTATCCCCGACAAAAGAAATCGATACTGCCTTGAATTTCAATCGATCCCCGTGAGTTCGGGGAGTGAGCGATGCCAGGGGATAAGTCGAAAAATCCAATAGCCATTATCTTGCGACCATTTTCTTACGGTTGTCCCTATTTTTTTCATAGATAATGTTTATAATATTCCCCGGCTTGATGTTTCAGCCCAATTATTTTACAATTTTGATTTTTCAGTCCAATTATTCTGTTAAAATTTTAAAAAATTGGGGGAAAATTGAAAAATCATGTCATTTTATTTCTGAATATTCATGTTCCGTTGAAAATTCAATCAAGTTGTGAAATTTCTAGTTCACTCCCACTGAAAACTAATGAATTTCCTTGAAATCTACCTAAAACTTGAAATTTGATAACCATTTTTCCCCTAAATCAGACTCAATGTCACTCTCACGAGAATTAGGGGAGGGTAGGGTAAAATGGACACTTTTTACTTTTTTGAAAATATTCATAGCTCAGAAACAGAGTTATCAATTGAGCTCAGTCTAAGCTCATCACAAAGAGGAATAATTGTTTTTCAATTGAAAAATAAAATTATTCCATTTCATGAACAATTCAATACGTAATAAAATTTCGAAAAACGACGATAACCCAACTCGAATTTTCACCACATAACTGGAAAATCTAATTCTCCATTCCACTTTTCCCCCGCGAAATTCTTTCCTTCTTTTTATTCTCGCTGTGCTCAAGAGCTACAGCACGTAGACCCGCTATCGGACACTCCCGGGAGTCCGAGGGCTCCGTTGCGCTTGCTTGACCGACTGATTACGATATAGCTACTCTAATAAATCCGCAATTACGCTGAGCACAGCGAGTATAACGGCCCGAAGCTATTGTTCAAATAATAACACAGAACGAAAAATATATCGAACTGAAGAATTCTTATTACAATTCTGATGATTCTCGTCACATCTCACTGCTGCCTATCCACAAATTTCTCCTGTTATTTTCCGTTTGATAAATCCGAGCCCATTAATTAAAGGAGAAAAACAATGCCAATTAAAAGCGTAATTTATTACATACTCAATTTCTCTTTCTTTCATAATTGAGTAATCCTCAATGAGTCTCGAATTAATCAGGAGAACAATTAGTTTAATCAATTTCTATTGGTATGGGAGCGAAAAAAAATTATGTTCAAAGTAATAAAGGATCATCATGATTCATAATGGGGGAAGAATAATTACTCGTAACCGAACCGAAAGAGTTAAATTCGAGTTGAAAAAGTTGACTATTCATGAGGATAAAAACGAAATTTTTCGGGTCAAGATTTATGCGGAAAAATGTGTATTCTGAAAATTATATATTTTATGTATGGAATTGGCCTGATTTATGTATAAAAATTATATAAAATATACATTAAACATATATGAATTTGTATTTTATATAAATCTCATATATATTCAAAGAATATTGTAAATTGGCCTATACTATACATTTTTTAAATATATTTTTCCATGGCGAATGGAATTTAAAAAAAAAAAAAATTAGCATTCATCGGGATGATAGCTACATGCGTTCCGAATTTTTTTTGAAGAAATCCGGAGATCAACTTTTGATTGAATAAGATGAAAAGAATAAGAACTGATAGGGAGAGGTGAAGCAAAATGAACTGTTCTCATCGACTTAAAGTCCCAATATCTTTGTTGTTAAACAAAAAAATTTAGAATTCAAGTGGTCGAAGGATGTAATTAAAATAAGAATTTTAAGCTATGATTGAATCATTTGAAGCATAAAAATTCAAAGATATCTCCGGAATTCTGATTTTTTAAAAATATAAAATTTTTGCAAATTTTCAAATGAATCAAAACAACTATTATTGCTGTCGCTGCAAAATAGAATGAGATTAGTATTCACTAGAGTCAGAATTGAGTTGAAGCGGAAATTGGGATTATCACTCATAGGGATCAAAGATAAAGTCGAATAAAATTTTTTTAAAATGCAGAATTCAACTCAAGATAGAAAAGAGCGAGGAAAATGAGTGTTTGCATGGTATTTATTTCTTATAATGGCGGAGGAATAATTACTGGTGCAAATAAAGACCGAAACACGCACGAAAAAAATCAGTAGAAAAAACCTACCAAATTCGCCAGACAATTCTATTGAAATGTTCAATATAAAATATCCTACAGAAAAAGTCAATAGAATTCGATTTTCCAATAAAACTTATTCAATTGAGTTATTTTCTACAGAATATCCTCCGTTCAAATTTCCCAAGTTTTTTTGTTTTATTCTTCTTCTTTCCATAAAAAAAAAACACAAAAAAACGACAGAAAATCTGAACCGACGAAATTCTATTATTTCTATTTTCTATTAATATTTCTATTTTCAATTTCAGTGCAAGTGCAAGTGACGAAATTCTGTACAAAATATCTCAATAAAATCGAATTTATCAACTTTTTCCCTAAAACATTTCCTATTGAATATTTCAATAGAATCGGCCAAAAGCTAATAGAAAGTTCAAAAGAAATCCAGTAGAATTGTCCAGCGAATCGGCTAGGTTTTTCCATTAACCTTTTCCATACAAGAAGAAAAATTCCATTCTCGAGGGATAAAACAAACCCAAAAGTGTCAATTTTGCATTTTAAACCGCGAAAAATTACTCCACATCAGGGTCAGGACTGAGTCCAAGCGAAAATCTATTTACACTCATAGGGATCACAACAGGATGCACAATAATTTCTAAAAAAATCGACTTACGATTGAATAAAGCGAAGAAAATACGTATTCATATGACTCCAACTCGTTTGGTCATCATAATGCTGATGACTGTAGTTTTAAGCTCTTCTTGAAGGTCAGTACGTTTTATTTTCCTCCACGTTGCCTCGACGCAATGGCATTGGTATGCGCTACACCGCGAACCCTCGAACTAGCCACTTTTACCTCTTTTTTCCCGCACTCCAACAAATCAACGATACCTACAATTTTTCGACGAAAGTTCCCCCCGAAAAATTCAATTTCCCCTCGTCACCCGTTTTTTAATCACCGAAAAACACTCCCGCGTCCGATCGTAGGGGACAACGCACGGAGCCCACAGCCTTGCTCTTTCCTCCTGCATTCGTCCTGACTGCCGAGTGTGAACACCTCTGGAGTCTCTACCTCTCTTTTACCTCTCCCACTACATTTTCAGCGTTTTTTTTTTTAAGTACAGGAAGACATTCACCTCTCGAGGCTTGACTAGACGCGGCTTTTTGAGCTCCCTCGATTCTCCAAGCTCCCCCACTACCGGTTTTTTTTTATCGGAGGTAGAGGTACTACAGGCGTTCTCCAGTGGATTTAGTTGACGCACTGGGACACGGAGACTGCAACGTGTTTCTTGTATTTTTCAACACATTTTTCATGATTTTTAACGGTTTCCCTGGGTTCAGTTCGTGAGGGAGGGAGTTCAGGTAGATTCTGGTTATTGTTGCTAATTACATTGATTTTAATGATTTTATGGGGAAGTTTAGTGGTTTCGATGATTTTTAGAGTCAAGTATTGAGGCGGAAATGAGGAAAATATTCGCGGGGTGATGGTGTTGGGATTATCTGCGGAGTGGAAGAGTTCAGGAGACTTTAGGAAAGGATATTTTTACTGAAGACAGACATTTTGTGTAAGTGACATTTTGATGGAGTTCTTCGCTTCAGAGTTCTTCGCTTCCCCGGAAAATAAAATACTTTTGAAGTTATTTTTCAACTGAATAAGTCATATTTTTTATGTCACCACATTTGTCGCTGGTGGGAATTTAAAATTTTCGCCACTAGTTGATCATCTAAAAACGCCAGATTTAGTGACAACTCACCAAATCGGTAACACTGCAATAACCGGTTAATGGAAAAATAAAAAAAAATTTGATTTTGTCTGTTGAAGTGTCTAAAAAATTATGGCAGTTTTTAGAACAGGATATTTCCCCAAATTCCTAGAGAAAACAATTTATTTCGAACGGACGAATTATTTTTTCCCGTGTTGAATGAAATGGCCCATGATGCGACATTGCCGGAAACTCGCTGAACGCGCCCGGCCAGTGTAGAGTGAATTCGGCAACGCTGAAGCCTAAATCAGTCGGCGGGAATCCCCGCGGAGGCGACCAGTCGCAGGGTCGCGTTTGGTGACCAGACAAGGGCTAATGTCCTCGGCTTTTCTCTGATTCACAGGGACTGTTGGATACTCTTGAATGACTGAGCTGCAGACAATTCAAGATGACAGTACCTGAGTGCACGTTGGACATTTCCAATGTCTCCCATTCGACGTCGGTTATCATGGAGGGAGGTGGGTGTGTGGGCAAGCCCACTGCTGTCCTGAGGGACGTTTCCGCGAGGGTTCATGGGGGCGAGGTCCTGGCTGTGCTCGGGTCTAAGGGGTCTGGGAAGCGGGCTCTTCTGGACGTTATTGGTAGGCTTTAACGACAGTTGCTATATTGTTACTAGAAAACATGCGCAAGAATTTTTATAGAAACAACCCCATCAAAAGAAGTTATAGAGAAAAATCAACTTCTATAGACATTTTTCTGTAAACAAAGATATATTTATAAGACGAACACAGCGGGTATATTTATTTTTAAAATTTTTTTAGTCTTACAGAATAGGCACAAAAAACAAGGAGAATGTATCAAAGAATTCTTAAGGTATTTATGGCGTGATCAGGGGGATAAAAAAAAATCAATGGCTGATTTTTTTAATACATTCTGTGATTTTTTTCAACTTCTACGCAAAATCCCAGACAGCCTAGGAGAATGGCTGAAACAGGGGAATTTTTCTAAAAAAAGCATTTTACCATGGGCTCTTATGGGAATTCGGAAAAAAATATATTAAAAATAAAATAAAAGTCGCCGTTTTCCTGAAATTTCGCAATTGGGTGGAGCTTTCATGGAGGAACATAAAAAAATAATCCAAGTGGCCTAGGAGAATTGTTTAGAAGTGATAATTAAAAAACGCATGAAAAATAGGAATTCTGCGTGCGCAACTTGGAATAGCGACAAGGTTCGGAATCGAGGTTGGGAATCGTGGAGGGGTAAGCGCGGCAAATATGAATGGAGTTGTGATGATACATTCCGCTATGGGAAGGAACACAACAGCTGAGTGAATCAGTGCTGCCAAATTGTGCCTCGAACGGCACGACGTTATCACTTTTTCTATCCACATTAATTATTTTCCAATTATCAAATAGAAAAAATAGAAGTTATCAAAAAAATATTTCGACCACAAAAATGCTCGAAATAGATTGAAAATTTGTAATTGAAATATCGTTTCTTGTTGAGCGATTGGTTTTCTGCGAGAGAGCAATAGATTCCCCTCCGTGATAAATACCTTGAAGAGTTCCGACAAAAATTCAACAGAATTTATCCTTTGGTTTTTCTGTTAAATTTCTTCATATCTTCATTCATTGAATCAATCACTCGAATTTCCAGCTGGAAGAGCAGTGGGTGAGACTCGAGGGCGCATCACCCTCGCAGGATCCACCCTGAACGCTGACTTATTCCGTCGTCATGGGGGATACGTGGCTCACCGTTGCTACCTCCTCCCCAGCCTGACAGTTCGTCAGACCCTCACATACGCCACATGGCTGGCAAACCTGAGCAGCCGAGAGTTGCGAGTGAGGCAGACCCTAGCAGATCTGGCTCTGTCCCAGGTAGCAAACAGATCAGTGAACGATCTGACCAGAGCTGAGTATCGAAGATTGATGTTGGGAGTTCAGCTGGCGAAGGATCCGATGATTCTTCTGCTGGACGAACCCACCTGGGACACAGATCCGCTGAACACTTATCTGATTGTCTCGATGCTGTGGTCTTACGCCACCAAGAGAGGTTCCATAGTTGTTCTGACCATGGAAACACCGAGATCAGATGTTCTGCCATTTGTCAGTCGAGTTACATTGCTTTGTCTCGGTGCTGTTGTTTACTCTGGACCCACACGCAGCATGCTGGACTACTTCACTTATATTGGGTTTCCCTGTCCAGAACTGGAGAACCCTCTGATGTATTATCGTAAGTTTTTCACATGTGGACTCTTAGTCTTGATAATCTGTTCGTTTTTTCGTTTTACGAAGACGTTTAATAGAGTTCGATTCTTTTCGCAATTTATTCTATTGAGATATTTTCTGTAGAATTTCCTCGGCTCTAATTTTCCAAGTTTTTTTGTTTGATTTTCTTGATGAAAAGAGCAGAATGAGAGAATGAAAAAAAAATTTTAAAATTGGAGCTAGGGAATCGCATCGTGAGGGAATCCCCGCGAATCCACACGCGATCAGGGCGCCACTGTAGAGCCAATGAGATGCTAGAAAAGCGCGTGAGGGAATCCCCGCGAAACCATACGCAATCTATGGGGCGCTACTGTAGAGTGAATGAGATGCTAGAAAAGTGTAGAAAAGCGCGACTACTTAAGGATATTCAGGAAAAGAAAAAAAAATTAATGTTGGGGCAATGTTGGCTTCAACAAATTATTGAATTCAATTTAAAATACATCGTCATAGGAATTCCATTCGGAAGCAAATTGCTAACCTATTTGCAAAAATATATTGACCGTACAGTGACCAAACCGATCTCCCGCTTGTTTCACTAATTTCATTTAAGACGAATATTCACTGAATAATCACGAGACGAGAATAGGGACATCTGTCAAACGCGGATGGGCACAATTATCATGATTAATATAAATAAATTCCAATTCTGAAGGTTTTACGCTCTGATATGTAATTTTAATCATCGCATATTCATGCTCATTTCGATAGAAATATTGGACTAAAGATGTGTTCACCTTAGCTAGACTAGCGTAGGGTTTTTTACCTTCCAGCATTTTTGGAATTAATGAAACAATAAAACATTCTAGAATTATCGCCTTTATTTAGTCATCAGTTTGAATAATTGAATCGACGATGATGTTTCATTTAGTTTGTTTATCGACCGTTGATCGACGCTCCCGTGACCGATTTATGGAGTCAAACCAACAGATATCCGTCTTGGTCGACAAATTCAAGATCGAGGGAGGATTATACCTGCGAGAGGGTCCTCAGGCAGCGGCAAGTGTCAAGGAAACACCTGTTGGCTATTTACACAAGCCTTGTGGCCTTGGCCATGGAATTAGACCCGGATGTTTCTCCACCCTCCTAGCTCTATTCTTGTGAGTTGAAAAAAAATTCTCAACGATTATTCATGCCCTCGGTAATGAACAGGTGAAACCCATATCAAATTGTAACAGCCGGAGTGGCTTTAGGATATTTGTTCATGCATGCATTTGAAATGCACGCATGAGCAAATATCGTAGAAAGAATGGATCCGTAGAAATTTTATTTTCCCGTTGAAAAGCGGCAATTTCTATTGAGAACGTCCCCTCGAACGATTGATCATTTCATTTTAATTTCCTGTTTTTGCAGACGAGGAATGGCAGCGACTTTCTCCTTCAACAAATGTGGTCTAGGACACTTCGCAACGAGGCTCCTCCTTTTACCCTTTTGCCTCGCGTTATTAAGCGTTTTATACTCACACTCAAGTCCAATGCAATCACGAGTATTTATGCAAACTACTGGATTGGTCTTCAATACTTTGACACTGTTTTATATGGCTGGAATCGGTACTACTGCACTTTTATGTAAGTTTATTCTTCCTTTACTTCACTGGCACAAGAACTAATCGAAAATCGCGATTTGACAATAAATTAGTATTGCTGAATTCTTCCAACATCCCATTAATTATTCCTCTTAATCCCACGAATTTCAGTTCCTGGATTTCGTGCCCGCTACTACCAAGAGAACCGCGAGGGTCTCTATGGAGGAGCCATGTTCCTCTCCTCCTACACCCTCCTGAGTCTCCCCCTGAGCTTCATATCGACGCTGATAACAGTAGGAATATTAACGCCAATCCTCGAGTTGGACCTCGTCTCCTGGGGCTACGCATCAGGCGCTCTCTGGGCGAGTTTCGTAGCCGCTGAGCAGCTGACCGTCGCCTTCTTCATGATCATAAAACGACCCATGACCGGCGCCATAACAGTCCTCTACGTAGCGCTGATTGCGCTGATAATTGGCTCTGGTGGCATTAGAAGCTTGAGGAGCCTTCCTGACTGGATTGCAGCTCTCTCCACAGCCTTGCCCACGAGATATGCCTCTCTGGCCGTTAATCAGTTGACCATTGAGATCCCTGCGTTATCCGGACTGAGGTACAATGAGACTCTTCCCTGTCCGGGAATCCCTGGGTGGTGCAGGTATCCCGATGGACGGACATTTCTGGTAGAGAGGTTCACTCGGGAGGGCGAGAACACTCATCAAGTATTAAATGTGGATCTTAATTTATTGATTTCTCTTGCCTTTGCTCTTGGTTTCGTTATTTTCAATAGCATTCTTTATTTATTGCCTTTGCCTGCGAGAGTTAAAGCCAAATTTCGGGAGTAGAGTGAAGGAATTGTTTAGCTTATACTTTTTTTTCGAAAATGGAAGGTTTTGTGGCAGAGAAATATTCAAATTTAAGTTTCGGATTTTTTGTGACAAACTTTTTCTTCAATTTCTCGCCAATAAATTGATCGAATTGAATTTTTTTTTCAAATGTAGGTATTGTTGAGCCTCATTCATCGACTTTAATAAAGTTGTGACCACTCGAACCTTTTCACAATTCCATTGCTGACTTAATTATAGTATGAAATAATCTTACTCTATATAATTTGTTTCTAGCATATCCCAAAACGTTTTGAAACTCCCTAAAAATTTATAAAAGTACTCTACAGGTACTTCGTTAATATCTCAGAATATTCTAGAATTTTCTAGCATTTATCGTCTGCATATCGATTTCAGCACGAAAAAAAATCGGACCATAAGGCGGGCAAGTATATTAGTAATAATTGCTAAAATGATATACGTAATATCTTAGAATGTCAAAAGGCGTATAAAATAATACTTTTATTACACGGTACATTTGCAGAATATTTAATCAATAACATGTATATAAGTTGTAGTGTTGTTTTTATACAAAATATCTCTGTAGAAAATAAATTAAATAAAACAGAAGTGATCACTTGATGGGAGAAAATCTTAACTCTCCTCTTCGAGATTCACTTGTCCCATAACTTTAAGGTCTTCAGCTACAGCAAATTCACAGCCGGTTGAGCTGACGACTTCACTGATATCTACGTTCGGAGCCAATTCTATCAGTTTGAGGCCTTCTCCTTTAATTACTTCGAACACCGCTAAATCGGTGATGATCAGGTCGACACATTGTTGACCTATCAATTGCAATTACCAATTAATTAATAATTTTAATGAAGAATGTGGACTAAATTTAAAATTATAATTTGTATAGAATTATTGATATTTGCTAATTACCTGTGACCGGCAGATTACATTTCTCAACTATTTTTGGACTTCCATCTCTCGCTTTGTGTTCCATTGTCACAACTACTTTAGTCCCAGCAGCTGAAACAAGATCCATGGCGCCTCCCATTCCCTTGACCATCGTTCCAGGAATCATCCAGTTGGCAAGATCACCAGTTTGAGACACTTGCATGCCCCCCAATATCGTCAGGTCAATGTGTCCTCTGGAATTCCCAATCGATCAATCAATAATCATAATTTCTATTGTGAAACAGAATAATAAATAGTCCCTTCTCATTCCCTTGACATGTGAATTGAGTAAGAATTAAATGACGTATTTATGATTTTTAACATCATCCTTATTTCTTAATTCTATAATGCCCTAGAATTCCGATAGATGGCGCCACTGTCGATAAGGAACCCTAAGGACTTTTTCCCTGAATGCCCCCATAATGAAAACAGACGTATCCACGTCAAAAGAAATTTATTTACTAAACCTCCGTTGAAATAGCGAAGCTGTGACAATGTAAAAATAATACAAGGGACACTTACCCCCGAATCATGGCGAAGCTCTCGTCACTTCCAAAGAACGACGCCCCCGGCAGAACCGTAACCGATTCCTTGCCAGCATTAATTAAATCAGCATCCACCTCGTTCTCCGCCGGGAAGGGGCCCAGTCCCAAAATACCGTTTTCCGACTGTAACGTGACTTTAATATTACTCGGAATGAAGTTACTGGCCAACATGGGCATTCCAATACCCAAATTAGCGTACATTCCGTCCTTGAACTCGAGTGCAGCTCGACGAATAATTCGATCTCTCGCTTTACTAGCTGGGGTTGATTTTTTCGATTTCACAGCAACATTCGTCTTGACTTTTTCAATTCGTTTCTCGTAAGTTCTGCCTTTGACTATTCTATTGACGTAAATCCCTGGGACGTGGACGTGATCTGGGTCCAATTGCCCGATCTCCAGGATCTCCTCTGCCTCGACAATTGTTATTTTCGCTGCTTTGCACATCACTGGGTTGAAGTTCCTGGCGGACTTTCTGACGATGAGGTTGCCAGCCTTGTCTGCCTTCCAGGCTTTTATCAACGCGAAGTCTCCGGTTATCGCCTTTTCCATCATGTACTCACGACCGTCGAATTGCTGCACGTCTCGAGGTTCTCCTGAGATCTCTGGGTTTTTCTGGCTGTCGTATTTTACCACCACGTTACCCTCCTGGATTATTGTCCCGTAGCCTGTGGGGGTGAAGAAGGCTGGGATTCCGGCACCTCCTGCGCGAATTCTCTCAGCTAATGTGCCCTGTTTTTGATTGATAATTACGAGTTTAGATTTTTTTCTTTGATATCTGCCTCAAAAGTTCATTTTTGGAAACGGTTTAGTGGGCGTAAAGCGGTTGATTGAATTAAACTAATTGAATTGAAATCAACTAGCGGTTTATGAAATTAATTATATTTAGATTAATTATATATTAATTATATTTAGATTAATTATATTAATTATATTTAGATTTGGAAACGGTTTAGTGGGCGTAAAGCGGTTGATTGAATTAAACTAATTGAATTGAAATCAACTAGCGGTTTATGAAATTAATTATATTTAGATTAATTATATATTAATTATATTTAGATTAATTATATTAATTATATTTAGATTTGGAAACGGTTTAGTGGGCGTAAAGCGGTTGATTGAATTAAACTAATTGAATTGAAATCAACTAGCGGTTTATGAAATGAATTATATTTAGATTATTTAAATTAACGGCGATTGAGAGGACTCGATAATACCTCCATTGGAGGGAAAAAAGATTCAATTCCATTAAATTTGAACCATTTTTTATTTCCAGTCGGAGGCAAAAAAATGTAAGTAAGATTGAGATCCTGCTAGCTATGACATTTTAATCATTTTGATAGTCCCAAGGATCTACTAAGAGTGAAGTACGATTGGAGTTATTATTTTAGTTACTAAGAAAAGTTATAGACACCAATGAAGAGTGATTTAGTGAATAATAAGAGAGGAAAATCCCATTCACATTAACTCGTGTTACGACAGAGTCAATTCTTAAGCCACAAGTTAAGAAACTCACAATTTTAAAACGTCATTCCCTCTTTTTAAAACGTTGTTTTAAAATTGTGGTTCATAAAAAATAAAACCACTGGATTCACCTGAGGAGTCAGCTCGACTTCCAACTCTCCATTGAGATACTGCTTCTCAAACTCGGCATTCTCCCCCACATACGAGGCAATCATCCGCTTTATCCTCTTCTCATTGAGCAACAAACCGAGTCCCCAGTCATCAACCCCAGCATTATTAGACACAACAGTCAGGTCTTTGCTCCCCTTCTTCAACAACGCACTGATCAAGTTCTCAGGTATTCCACACAGTCCAAAGCCACCAACCAACAGCTTTGCTCCGTCAGGAATGTCGGATATCACTTGCTCCATTGATTTGAAGTATTTCCCATCACCCACTGGTGGTTTTATCCTCTCAACTTCGGTTTCGGGATCAGCAGTGTCTGATTTCGCCGAGAAATTCACCGACCAGATCTGCATAGAGTGAAAATAATTATAAACAATGAAGAATTGACAGAGAATGAGAAAAAAATAACAAAACAAATGAAGAAATACTTGAAAACAACTGAAAATTGATTTCAACAAGAGAGATAGATCAATAATCGAAGAAGAGAGGAATTAAACAAGTCACGTATGAAAAAAAATCAATAAAAAACTAGCGAATTTTCTAGAAAATTCTATAGGGATTCTTTTGAAATTCTATTGGGATTCTAATTAAATTCTAGGGAAATCTCGTTAAAAAGCCAAGAGATTTCGATTTTTCTATAGAAATATTCTCTTGGAATTTTCTTTATAAAAATACTTGGGCATGAATTTTCTGTTTTTTCACTCGGATCCTGTAATGCAAAACAAAGCAAAATATAGCGGAAAAAACTTAAAAAATTCGTGTCCAATAATTTTAACAGGAAAAATCTCAAGAAAAAAATTCAAACAGAAAAATCGAATCTGCGCAAAAAACAAATAGAATTTGAAAGAGAATTCCCTGGAATTTTAATAGAATCTCGATAGCATTTCTGGAGAATTGCAATAGAATTTTCTAGCGAATTTGCTAAGGTTTTCTATTGAATTTTTTCATGCCTGGTGTTTTTAAAATACATTTTTAGGTTAAGAATCAGGCGATATTTACCTTATTTATTGCTGGATGGATTTGTTGCCTAGTATTTCCTAATCGAAGGTAAACACTACGGAGTTTTATTATTGTTGATGCCATATTTTTATTCTTGATAAATAACCAATAAGCAAGTGACGAGGAGCACAGTAATTAGATCACAATGGGAGGACTGAGTTGCGTTGTCACTTGTATTGCCCCCTCACCGGCTCCCCCAGTACTGCCACTCGTCAGACTCAGTTCGATAACACATACTGTTGCATTCCTTATTACAATATCTTCGGTGCGATTAGAGCTTTGTTTTCGACGAATTGAAAGGAGTTTCGCGAGGTCATAGATCTCGTTTACACAAGTGCTAAATCGTATCTCAATCGAGAATGTGTAATGGGAGTGATGTATAGAATTTATAATACAGATAGCATCATTCCTCAGTAATATTTTTAAAAGAATTTCAGTCATTATTCTCATCGCATTCAAGAGTTTGTTGATTTTCCATCTTTTTGAAAATTTACTTCCACTGATTATTTGAATAAAAAAAGAAAGGTTGAAGTGGATTCAATTATTATTAAAACCACCTTCGACTTCACTTTCATCGAATAAATGGTTAACGAATGAAAAAATTTAACAGAAAATATAGCGAATTCGCTGAAAAATTCTATTGGTTTTCTCTTGAATTTTCTATTAGTTTTTGGCTGAGAAAATGTCAATTGAATTCGATTTTTCTATACAACTTATTCAATTGAGGTATTTTCTATAGAATTTCCTCGGCTCAAAATTTCAAAATCTCAAAGTTTTTTGGTTGATTTTTTCAAGTTCATTGCTAATTTGTTAGCAAAAAAACTATACTACATCAATATAAAAGCAATTTCCCAATTGTTTTATTTCCTCATCCACATTTCGATTGTTTAAACTTTTCGAGAAAATATTTACGGAAATGTTGTTTACATGATTTTGTGAACAAATTTGTTTTTCATTTATGGTAAGTCTTGCATCAGCTTAACGTACGTAGGATACGATAAATGTTATTTCGTAATGGTTTCTTTTTCCAATTTGAAATGTCTGTTGGTGATCGTAATGACTCGGGAAGAGTGCGAAGAGTTAAATGGGGACTCTATCAATCGGGGGATTATCTGAGGAGGTGACGGTTTGATGTATAGAATTTATATATAATATGTAATTTTTCAATGAGAAGAAGACCTCCAATCGAAATGCAATTTTTCCGAAGATTCCCGGCATTTGGCATGAAAAATGTAGACGAAATTTTTCAACCGTGTACTTTAACCGAATACTTAAACTAGTTTAGATTTCAAACTCTTAAAAGTTTTACTTCACGAGATGAACACAACAGTAAGCAATACAGTGGTTACTCCCTAACATTTCAGCCTCTGGGGTCAGAATTCAAGAAATTAAATATTCGGGAAGCCCTCACTCTTCCGTTGGAGGCGGAGCTCGGAAAGAGATAAACAGAGAGAAAGAATATGCCTGTCTCACTCTCACACACCGAGAGTAATTTTACTGCGCAGCTCCGTCGCGCAAAGGGACCCACAGATTTACCCAAACACATTTACGTTGTCGATGGTGGGGGAAGTCAACTTCTCCGACTGAAATGTTAGAGAGTAACCGCTGTATTTTGTCGAAAATATATGTGACGACCAATATTTTTTCCCAGAGATTATCTAGCGGATGATAAGTCAAAGACCTGTTGTCCAAAAGCCCGTTATCAATTCACTCATTATCGAAATAATGATTGCGTCGTTACTCACGGATCTGGCGAATGTATGTCATAAATAGAAAATCAAAGTTTCCGACTAATTTTTCAATCAATTTTATTCAACATCAATTAAAAATTGTCTGCTATCCACTAATTAAAATGTTTCTTCTCCAACTTAATAAACTTTATGCTCAATAATGCTAATAATTAGGTACAACTTTGATCCACATGTCAATCCATTCTCATTAAAAATACCTTACCTTATTAAATTAATTAAAAAAATACAGTGTAATTATTCTCATCGAAGACGAGGCCAACAGAATACTTTTATCGATGGCAGTTGTTTCTACCGAGTAAAACTAGAAATCGAAACGATTCAATTGTTCAACTTAATTAAATGGAGTTTGTTTATCCCGATTTCATCGAAGACGTCCACTTCTTGCGTCTGTTATTGCCCCCCAAAGTTCAATGACAAAGTCGTCGGTGAAACCAAAGGCCTCGAGATCAGAGTCATCAATGGCTTCGGCAAAATCCATGCTGTTTGATTTTCCCTCGGCCAACTCCCATATTCGTGTTGCTAATTCATTGTCGTTTATTCCCATGAAAGTCTCAAGGATGTCATTGATTTTCTCCACCCCAACTGTCGCTGCATCATCGACCTAATTAATGGAGGAATTCCCATATTCATTACTCAGAGAAAACAAAAAATAACAATGGATAAGTAGAAACAACTTTGTCGCGTACAAATGGCGATTCGATTTATGAGAAAATTGTTGTGCAATGTCATGAAATACTTGACTTGTGACATGTGATCACGCGAAACTGACCAAAACTGATTGAAAACCCGTTCGGAGCCCGTGTGCCTCCGAATTTTTTAATTTGTGCATTGATAATTATTCAATTATTTCCCTCACATCGAGGTCCGGAAAGTCGATGGATAGCATATGGCATCCCGCTTTCCAAGTAATTTATGCCTTAAAACCATCTAAGGTTGACCGAGTAGAATAGCCCAGGGGATAACATAGATGTTCAATATACCGGTCGAAAAATGTCTTTGGTTTTGATAGAACCGTAATTTTACGTGGACACGTCTATGGTCTCCACCATAGAAGTCATTGCCGAGATAATTCAATAATCAAATCTCGGTGGCTTGGCGCAGTGGGTAAGTTCTAACCACTTAAAGTCTTGATCATCATCGCAGTGTACCCTAACCGGGTCGAAGCGATGTAAAATAACGATTAAAAAAAATTCAATAATCAGTACTGCAGGATTACTCACAGGTTGAATATGGGCACTTCCATCTGCTTTGAATCTCAAAGTCTCTTTGCCAGTCCCATATCCAGGTTTCTTTCCTTTCCTGGGGTCAGAGCGCGGTCCAATGCTCCCAAAGCCGCTCTTCTGGGGCTCAATCAGTCTCAGAGTGAACATTGCACCCTTCGGAATTTCCTTCAACATCTTCGCGACTTCGAAATGCCGTCTTCCTACGAGACTCTCCTCGTTGATTTTCTCTATGTGATCGCCCACTTGGATTATTTTTATTTTATCGATCACTGATCCTTCCTTTATCCTTTTTATGAAGGCGTAACCAGCACCGTTGTCGGTTATCGTGAGGCCCAGGGCGTCCTCGGTCTTTATTAATTCTATTTCCTTTGGTCTTCCTGAACATAGAGACAGAAAAAATCAACAAAATTTCGTTTTTCTATGCAATATATCCTATCGAAATGTTTTCTCCAGAAATTCCTCCGCTGGAATTTTCCATTTCCTCATGTTGTTTTAATGAGACGACATAAATTTTCCAAGTTTTTTTTTATTTAGAAAATTCATGCGCCGTTTGAAGTAATTTATGACATCATAATTTATGTCGTTATGGCGACGAATTTGTGCACATTTGTACCTTTTCGATGAGCAAATATAAAGTCCTCGAGGCCAATTTGTCCCCCCAGTAGCTCCGACATCTCAGCTTTGTGTGTATTCAACGTGCAAAATAATATCTGCAATTCAGAGCGTTAATTAAGCAGAAAAACAATCGGCTGTTGTGAAATATTATGAAGTATAAAGGTCTCCTTCGCGAAGTGATGAAATGTGGGCCGGTGAAATTCACCGAAGGCACTGTACAATACGATAACCAGGAGAAAAATTGCACAATCTCGTGATTCAACGGGTGAGCATAATGGAATTATTGACCTTTCTAAAATCAATGCAGGGGAATTACGTTTGCTTACATGTTCAAACATGTTCGAGATAACGTTCGAAAGATAATCCATCCGGTTCTTAAATTAAAAATAAACAATATGCAGTGACTTTCGTCTACTAAACAACAGAGATGGAAATGTGAAATGTGGAGGGGAATATCCGTCGGGGTCATGAACCATGACCAATGTTTCCTGCGTCCGGCGAAGGGTAAAAAAAATAGAGTAAAAATAGAATGAAATTAAAACTGACCTCACTGGCAGGTAAATCGTGGCACTCGGCGATTCTCTGATACAACTCACGAACGTTACTGAAGCCAGAAATCAAGCCCGTTGGACTGCCGTGGGCCAATTGACATCGAAACACAAGTTGCGCTTTACTCTCCTCAGTCTCAGCCTCGGGTACGCGATTCTGAGGACTGTACCTGTCCCGTTTACCATTGCCATTGGTACTGTTCATCTGTGAACTACTGTTGCTCACGGTGTCGTGACCCTCGCGATGGTGAGCTCCGTTATTCATTTTATCCGGAGGGGAGGATGAGTGAGAGGACGAGCTCTTTGGTTTAAACAACGGCATTTTTTACAATATCCCTTGAAGAGAAGGACGAGTTATAGAATGTTCCCAATTAAGATTCATGGGTTTAAATTTTATGGCAGTGAGCCCATTTACACCGGGGAGTTGGACACGAGTAGAGTTGAAGTAACTCGTCGGTGGAAATACAACGATGAGTTAGTCTCAGTGGAAACGAGACAGAAGTTGGCTATTATTTCCCATGTAAAAGGAAATCCATCGAACTCCTTTGAGTTTATGTCAACGCTAACAACACATCAAGTTCGTACGGTGTAAATAGACTCAGTGTCTATTCCGCGATTTCTTCAAAGACTCATTCAAAATCCTCTGATCTGGATTTTCATCAGAAATTATGAAGTGAATAATTCTTATCATAAAAAATATATGACCCCCTCCATCGCGCAGGCGACCGGAGAGACCGACACGTCATAAAGATAATGGAAAGCACACTCAACCGGTACATACCTTCAGTAATTTCTCAATGATCAAACAAAACTGCCAACCTCTCACGAAAAATGTAATCCAAGAGTATTTTTCACACGCAATTTTATCCACGTCGACGAAATTTCATGTCGCCCAACGTTCACCACAATTTATCACGCCTTTCTCTAGTCCATTATTAACGTGAGCAGCGTCCGGTGGATTTATCAGACAAGGCGCTGTTATCATATCGAATAGAAAATTACGAAAAAAATGTGATGCGATAATAATAAATTTCCCGATGATAAAATAGCGATTTTCTGTTGACGTAGTAGGAAGTAGTTTCTAGAGCACTTGTGAGGCTCCCGGCGCGAAAAACGGATTTGCTATTTCACCTGGCATTGTCGAGCGTTCGATCACAACAAAAAGGTGTGTAATACACCGTACACGGAATTCTCGTGACTCCCTCGTAAGCACAAGCGCTCGTACCCCACCACAATTACCTCTTTTTTTCAATCATTTTTTTTTCCTTTCCTGTGTAGTGAATGCCTGTGTTTGCCGTTTCACCTACTGTTTCGTTTAATTAATGCTCTCGGTCAAGACATCCATTATCCGTTGTTTGCGAACAAAAATTGTTGAATTATCATTGGACGGTAAAATGATAACTCTGGGTGGAAAATTGGAGATGAAAAATTTGGAAATCCCAGGGCGTAGGGTAAGGAATTCTATTCGGACCCGAACGACAAAATTTCATTGGAAAATTTCTATTGAGAATTCTATCAGTTTTTTTGGTGATTTCTATGGAACACGTGAGAACGCTACGAAATTCAGTAGAAATCCAAAAGACTTTTCTAGCGAATTCGCTGGGTTTTTGCTTCCGAATGGAAACTTTGTAATCCCTCAAATTTAAGTTTTCAATTTTTTATGTTAGAATGATTTATTTTTTATTTTTTATTTTTTCGAATGATTGACTTTTTATGTTGGATCCGAAAAAATTGGCATTTTTCAAAAATCCATTGTTCAACGATCGCTCAAAAAATTGTCATGAAAAAAGAATTAGTCATGGCTCGAAAAAATGATAACAATGCCCTCTTAATTCTATCAGAATATTATTTACAGCAAATTGTTTGTGCATTTTTAAGAGAAAATCGGTTCTTTCATGATTACTGAAAGAATTATCAATATCAATTAACTCAGGGCTTGAAATAGTATATTTCGCGCGGGGTGGGGGTCGTTTGTACCATCGCAGATGGACACATTCCGTTTTGAACACGTTCTAGGGAAAATGGCGTCAGTACGGGAGGCGATGGAACAGATGGGCACAGAAATTAGTGGTCGCATCCGCGGAAGGACAGATTCTGATGAGGGGGTTAAACAGAGCTCGATATTGCAGATGTCCTCTGGAACAGTCTTACCAATGGAATTTTCTAGTGCAGCGGCACGTTGGGAGATGGCGGGATTATTCTCATTTAAAGCGGAATTACGAACTAAATCGAACTGGAGCAATAGTTTAAATCCAAGATCTGACACTTCGGCCCCAGGTGAAAAAAAAAATTTTTCATTTTTCACTTTTTCCAACTACTTTTGAGTGTTCTGAATAGCCCGTCGCCCAAATTA